GGACCAATTAATGGAGAGTAGAGATTATACAAGTGCTAAATAGGTCATCTATGGGAATATTCCAGTTGTTGGCACACCTGAACTAGCACAGCAGCTCAGTTGCAACGTTGCCTTGATGTGCAACATCACCAATGACATCCCTGGTTCACAGCAGCACCATGTTACCAAAAATCCGACGAGATTGAAATAAATTTCAGAAATAAAACGACGTTTGTTAGTTGACAACAAAATTTTTTTTTTAGATGTAACGCATCAAATGTTGGATGTTTAATAAAAGCCTCTGCTTACCTATCTGCAATTTATAAAATGTTATTTTTCATTCTGCGGTTTGATAAAATTTGAATGATGTTTGAGTATTTGATAAAAAATTCATAGCATAATCGTTCAACGTACTCTTATCAGATATTGCTTGTGTAAAACAAAGGAAACTGATCTGCTTCTTCTTTTTAGTATGCACCGTATCTCGTAGCTGACTATTTGCAAATTGTCACATCAAAATCAATACCTCAAGAATACCAGGTATTTGTTTACTTATTATGTGATTGTTAATTGCATTCTGCACCACTCAGGTTTTCCTAATCTACGAACATGTGATTCAAATTATTACATGTATTTTTCCTATACCTCTGCAAAAATCGAGGAGGAGAGTGCCCACTCCTACGGCCCCTCCCCCCTCATACATGCCTCCTTTGCGCTTTGTCAAGCTTTAGGGGCCCTTTACATGAGACCCGAAATGAACTCATGCCGGTGTCATATGCGTTTCGGTAACCTTATGCATTTTGGTCCGGGTACTCAAACGCATGGCAATTTTGGTTATGCAAAATCGTACCCAAGCACTTAAACAATAGGGTACCAAAACTAATGGTGGAATTTAGCATGCAAAACGGTCCAGGTACACAAACGCATGGCAATTTTGTTTATACAAAAACGTACCCAAGCACTAAAACAATAGGTTACCAAAACGAACTTGGAATTTCGCATGCAAAACGGTCCTGGTACAGAAACGCATAACAATTTTGCTTATGCAAAAACGTACCCAAGCTTTTAAAAAACAGGGAACTGAAACAAATGGTGGAATTTAGCATGCGACCTGGTCTGGGAACACAAATGTTCTGATTCATAATGTTCAGAATGTAAAGAACAATCGAACTATTTCTAACAAGGGGGTACTAACAAGAAGCGGTGCTGTGATTTCCCTTGTTAAGTTTATGCAAAAAAGTACAACATTAATGGCGACTCCAAAGTTTTCTTGATTAAAAAGTGTGAAATTTTAAACAAAAAAAGCATTGTGTCCTATTTGTTAATTATAATGTGTCATAATGTCGCACTATGATGAAATCACTTGATTTGAAACACATTGCGTTTCACAATGTTACACTTTTGCATAGGGTACCAAAACGCATATGACACCGGCATGAAAACTCATGCCGGCATGAGTTTCATTTCGGTCAACGCCATGTAATCACAACAGTAGCTCAGACCAGCACCCGACATGAAACTCGTGCCGGCATGAAAACTCGTGCCGGCATGAGTTTCGTTTCGGGTCTCATGTAAAGGGCCCCTTAGACCCGGTTTAGCCTTTGAACAAATCATAAGTTCTTGGTGCACTATGCCCAGAGACTTCAAACGAATATATTGTCTAATAAGTGTTGGTTTCTATAAACACCTGTAGAAAGTCAAGGTTCTTTATGCACCAAAACATCTAAAAAACTCAACTTGACAAAGCAAGGAAATACTTTAGGATAATGGCTACCCCGAAGATGTCATTTCGATATGATATTGGCAAAAAAGTCGCTAGTTTTTCCGCAGGAAAAATGTTTGATCGTGAAAAGTGCCCTGTATCCTCTATTTTCACTTTCGTTCCGCATCTGGATTTAAGTTTTCTGCTTTCCTTTGGACATTATCGGATGTTTATACGCTGAAGAAAAGTATTTTAGTTTGACAGGTTTCCGCTTTTCCTTGGTATTTTCAAATTTTGTGCTACTAAAAGCTTTTTTAAATGTTAGGCTGTAATTTCCCTTACAGTAATGAGTCGATTACAACTTAGCTGCTGTTAAAGCTGGCTACTTCGTTGCTGTTTTTCTTTTGGTTACAAAATACACAAGAAAAGTTTGCAGTTTTACGGTTGATAATGACGAGGGAAGTTGATAATAAACAAAAGAGTGTATGTGTACCGCTCTTAGTATTAAATTGCTTTAAGGAGGATTTCAATAGCTTTGCTCCTTGGCAAAGAAAAAATAAGGAGTATCTAGCATCTGCTAGTACTGTCTCCGTAATTGTCTTCATATAAAGCAATTGATGTTTAATCCAGGTCGAAACCGTTGAGTTTATCTAAGCTATTATTACGTTTCATGGTAGGTAACTAGTCAAACAACTTCTCATCGTTTTCGGCTATTCGTTATGGTCATTTGATGACCGAGCACTAGTACCGTGAAGATGAATTCTTTTTAGGGCCAGTTAGTCTAAAACATTTTAATTTTATGTAAAAAAGGTGGCTTAGGCATGGTAGTTGTATTTCATATTTTTAAGAATTAATTTCTCGCAGCTTACAGGTGTACAGACACAACTTTTCAGATCTAGACATTCTTCGATTCTTTTAGTTTCACAAAGAAGTGACGAGTCTCTTCCCTCTCTTCTCTAGATCTCTAGACAGGGCCGTCGAGAGGTTCTGGAGGCTCTAAGGCAAAACCTAAAATTTTTTAGCGACCATGCCCTTTAGACTAGCTCAGATTCTTTAAATTTTTGCCATCGTTAAAAAGGTTTACTTTTTTAGGGGTAATTCTGTTACTTTTAATTAATTCAATTTAAAAGAGAAATTATTGCTTTACGAGGTAATAAAACCATATTTATACAGGTAAACTTGTTCAGCAAAATGAATTTGCTGCCATTAACCAAGGACCTGTTAACCTAGTGTTCCTAAAATATATACTTAACAATAGATGTAATTCATAAGCTATTTTATTTCTATTGTAATTCATGTTTAAAGAAACAAGCAAGGTTTAAGTCTAAAGAAAAATGTTAAAAGTCAAAGTCAAAATCCTTGCAGAAACTCTTGACCTTCATAATTGATGTTATTTGTTCCTTTGAAATTTTGCTGAATATTTTTGCATCCCGGAAGGTCTTTTTGTGTTGTTTTGTAATTTATATTTACGATTTTATATCATATTAGTTTATATAAACGGTATTTGCTGTTTTTTTATAAGTAGGGGGACCAAATCACAAATCAGTCGAATAAATCGATTTTTCTTATTTCAGAAATGTCTCACCGATGGTTTGTACTGCTTAATGGATAGCTGCAGTTCAAATGACTCTGCTTATCTCAATATGGCCCTGTCACAAGGAGAACGCGAACTCTTTAAAGACCTTTACAAAACATTTGTGAAACATCATAAGTTTTCCGGTAAAGCTTGAACAGGGACACTTCGTTTACCACTCACAGTTTAGCTGTGAAGGACCAAACGAATTCTCGAAGCCTGGGAAAACCAAGAGCTTTTTTATCAAGGTCATCTCAATCTAGAATTGATTATTGACGAACAGTTCCTATTACGATCGGTAGAAATCCCACAATCACCCTTGGTTGCTATTTCTGAAGTCTACCGTCACACTTTATTGTACATGATCGTAAATGCGATCACTGTAGTTATTTTTGCGTTTTACTTGCACCCACTTCCTTATTATTTCGTTTGTTCACTGTTACTTTCTGGATCCACCAACCCAGCTTGGCTAAAAGACACTTTTGCTTGTCTAAATTTTCTGAATAGCAAAACCTTGATCCTCGTTCAGAATCTCTATATTCTGTTTATCCTTGTGTAAAATACAACCCAATCAAGAGTTGTGAAAATAACCTGTAAGAAAATACAGCTTATTATAATTGATTGTTATGAAGTATGTAGAATATAGAATGTTTATCGAACATCTTGAAAATCTGATGTATTGAAGCCCTTGTATGCACTCTTTTCAACCATGAAAATAAACGGCTGCTTTTCATTAAAATGCACAGAGTTCCTTTCTTCGTTGCTGTTGTTAAAAATTGCCTTCGTCGCAGAGACAGGGTGGGAATAAAGCAGTCTGGTACTGCGTTGCTGTGGGATAACTGTGTTTCTTTGATAAGTAACTGATATACAACCTAGAAAGCCATACCGTGAGCTAATTGGCTAGCTGGATTTCTTTGCTGTAATCATATTATTGAGTCTAGAGAAAAGCTGTGTGTTTGTAAACACTTCGTTTTGCGTAGAATGACACAGTTTAATTTGCTCTTTTTGCCATTAAGTATAAGTTTTCTTTGAACACGAGTTCAGTTCAGTTCATTTCATTTTTGAAAGGCCCAAGTTTTTTTTGCGCTTTTTCAATGTCCCTGTACTGGGTAGCAATTAAAGATATTTCTGAATTTTAGGAGTATTTCGTGGCTGAATGATAGAAGAAGCATTTTTTATTTAAGTTACTTTATTTTCCAAGTCGAGGTTATGCTGTCATGTGACTTTTCCCGCTTAAATTTAAATTTGAATGGCGTATGAAATTATGAAATTGCCCATTAAAAAATTTGCAAACTCTCAAGAAATTTCAGTGATGCAGAAAATTGATAACTGAGCAAAATGTCTGAGGCACATCAATGAAATAAAGGTAAATGATTATGTAATTTTCTGCTTGAATTTCCGATTAATGTAGACTTTATCAAACGTTATGATGAAAATCTAATGTCCAGCTCACCGGGCTGAGTTAGGCCCTTGCCAGTGAATAGAAGCACCATGGGCTCCCAAGAATTGTTTTATTTTTTCCATCTCATTTATCGAAAAGTGCAATTCATAATATTTTATTGCAATATATTCTAACTCGACAATAATGCATTTATATTTAACGAGTAACCTACATATATGATTTCGTGTTTGTTTGACATTTTCTTTCAGACCGAAATTCGATTAATTAACTTTTATATTTTCTTAGTCTATTGATTAAAGTTATCTATTTCCTCAGTCAGTATTCAAGGAATGGCATATTTTTCAACAAAACAGAAAATAACATTCCTACTTCGACAGCTCCTGATTTTAGCAGTGCATGTCTATATAACACAATATTGTCCCCAAAATTGTTATTCGCATAATTTGTGATTTTGAAATGCCCTGACTAACTTGTTCCACGCAGACGTTCGGGCAATTTTTCTGTGGAGTGAACAAGTAGTGCCAAGTTTTTTGCTAAGCAGCGAACAGGTTTTTTGAGCGCAGTCGCAAGACACTTTTATGAGTCCTAAATGGGTAATAAGAGACCCCAATAACCAATTTTCATTCCGCCAGTATTAACTTCATTCAAATTGTCATGGAAATCCAATGAAAACGACGAAAAATCCCATCAGAGATAAATTCTTATGGTGGCAAACAGTTGGTGTACTGTTGCTCCAGGGATGGCATTGCCACCCCATGCCACCCTTTGGCTACGGGCCTGGAGGACATCTGCTCTACACCGTGACACCCCATAGCGCCACCCCTGCTTAAGATCAAGAAATTGCTATTGTAGCATTTTTTCGGTCAATTCAAGTGGTATGGCCAATTCAATTCTTATTGTAAATTGCCCCTTTAAGTTGTTGTCCGACATCACTTTCTCAAGGCTTGGACACCAAACAAGCTAGAGATCGTCTTGTAAGCCAATGGTCAATTGATGACAACACATTGATGAATGGTGATTCATAACACTAAACTTTCACCTAGTTGGTCTATTTTATGGTACTTTGGTCCAAAGAAAGAGACATTTTTGTGCCAAACTGTAACATTGTTCGAAGCAGTTGGTAGTTGGTATGGGAAGGTGACACAATGAAGTTAGTTTTAAAGCAGGAACGCCGGAGCCCGAGAAGGGCCGAAGGGGGATGTAGCGCCCTCCCTACAATTTTTTTTGAATTTTTGCTGAAGTTTGTTATCAAGGTTGTGGCACCAAAGATAATAGAGGGAAACTACTATAAACTATCATAAGCCCCTGGGAGATTCGAGGATTTACGGTGTAGATTAGTAGATTAGTAGATACCGAGAAACAATAACTCTGAGGAGCAATCCCAGGATGCAGTGCTAAACGACGATTTCAATTGGCGCCATTTCATAAAAATAATTCAGAATGTGATTGAAAAAAAGTTTATTTGATTTATGAATATGGCGTTGTTATTGGAAGTTGTTAATGATCTTATATAATTAAAGCTGTTACAAACCGTGATGATTACGAAGAAAATTGGCAATGCCAGGTGCAGAGTAGAACACACCTAACTGTATGCTCAGTTGGCTGACAGTTTCAAGGAATAACTAGCTAGGCCATCCTCTGACCAAGGAAGATCATATTGGCACCAAGAGGGATGGAGGCGTCTTCAGTGAGCAAAAAGCCCCCGCGAAATTTTTCCAAGCAGAAGTCATGTGGTAATATTCTCCAGCAGTACCAAACCAGCGAAAAAAGCGAAACGAAAAGACGTGTTTGTGTGACACCAAATTCAAAAACACCAGTCACTCGTCGACTGCAAAGCACAACAAATACATTCGGATCCAGATTAGATCTTAAAAAGTCTCCAAAAAGCAATACTGATGGTTCCAGAAAGCTCATAAGATCTGGCTCTAGGAAGACACCTTCGTGTCCCAAAAGTGGAACACCCGCACTCATTACTCCACGTTGTACCCCGGTTTCTACAAAGACTCCACTTGGATTATTTAAAGGTAAAACCAAACGAGACTCAGAGAAAAGAAAAGAGTTTAGACCAAAGAAAAGACTGGCTGTTGCGAATGAAAGTGATACTTATTTCACAGATCAAGAAAGTTATGAAGGAGACTGCAAACATGTTCCTGTCGCTGAAATAAAACCAATGCCCATTTCAAACAATCTATGTGAAAGTGACTTTAAAATGGGCGATTGTACTCCTGATGACAGCTTCAACAGAGTGAAATCAGGAGACAATTTTTCAGCTAAAGAAATATCTGTTAATACAGGGAAGAGGAATTTTGATGCCTGTGTTGATTCTGGAAACTTTTCGGTTTTTGTAGCTGTCAGAGTTCGACCATTTTCAGAGAGGTAATGTGTTGAAATGCAGAAGCCCCATTTTTCAAATGATTTTCTACACACTCAGGATAATATATTTGAAAAGCAAAATATGTTCCAGTGTGTAGATGATAATGGTTCTAGGTTTGCTCCTCTGATTTCCATCCAGTATCAAATCTGCACCTTTATGTTCCTATCTCAAACTCAAAAACTTTTTTCAGCCCCAATGTAATTACAGGTTACATCAAATTAGTTTTCTTAAATACATTCACTAATCATACATTTTTAATTGCAAAAAGCTTAAGGAAGAAAACAATAGATAAAACTAAATAAGCTTATGGGGACATAGAAAAAACACAAGACAGAGCAATCAAAGCTGTGTGCCCATTTTTAACATGATTTGGCAATATAAAGTTTCTTTATATAAAGAAATTTAAGATATATGACAGACCAAGTATATAGCAACTGAATGAAATTAAAAATCTTTTTCCATTTTCAACTTTGTTCTTGTTTTAGCTGGCAATTTATGTATGTCTGGTGTTTGGACTCTTTTGAAATATTACTTTTAAAAGCTTCTTCAATTTTTTTTATAAATCTAATAACTAAAGGGAATGTGTATTTGCAGGTGTTTAGCCTGTATCTAAACTACAAAGGCTGCTGTGTGCTCTCATTGCTGTATTTTCTTGATTTGCTTCCACTTATTCAAGCTAAGGCCCAGTTTTTATATATGCAGAGATTCAAATCCTGTTAGGCCCTTTAATGAGAGGTATTTGATCGAGACATAACACCTCCTCACTCCCATCAAAGACTCTGCTGGCTTGATTATTTAATCATCTGCCGCTTGATTATTTAAGCTCCCCAAAATGTTTATTTTAAATCTGCACTTAACATTTTGTAAATTTTTGTTTTCTTGTAAAAATTGAAAATTATATTTCTTGCATACTTTGAAAATTTTCCTATCCTGCTAAAAAAGTATCTCTTCCTCCAAAACTCCAGGCCAGCTTTCACATAATATACACCACATTTAAGCTGCTTCATTTTTATGCTGATTATGTTTTTATGCTGATTTTTGCTAAAGCTGTTTATTTACTTTGTTTCAAAGCACAAATCAACTAGAAACTTGATCAAACCCGAAGCAAAACAAGTGGCTAAATCATCCAAGTGCAAAAGTTTTGCTCATTTATTGCCTGCTTCCCAGAAATACAGTACATGTCTTATGCATGTCTTGGTGTATGTCTTGGTAAATGCATCTGTGATTGTTAAAACATAAATACCCAGGCCCATAATTTCAGTTTGGGGACAATGTCCCTTTTAATGCTATCTATAAGCTATTCCAAAAATCCAAAGCATTTTAGATAATCTCTGATAATTGCTTGTTAGCACATTCTTTGATATATTCTTTAATGATAAAGTTCATTTTTTCCCCAACAGAGAAGAACAAAATACAGATGTGTCATGTGTAGTCGAAGTGCATGAAAATTCAATTTGTGTCACAGAAACCAATGGAAACCCTCATCACTTCACGTATGACATGTCATTTTGGTCATTTGGTACAACTGACCAAAGCTATGCCAGTCAAGAGAAAGTATACACTGCAACAGCCAAACCTTTGTTGGAAGGAGTTATACAGGGTTACAACACTTGTTTATTTGCATATGGCCAGGTAAAAGATATAAAGAATATAAAACTATAAAGAATATGAAATAATAAACTCATTGATCTGAATAAACAGAGTAGTAGCTATTGTTTCTAAGTGAAAATCTTTAAACTCTGCTTGAAAAATACAATTTGTCTTGAATTTATAATCAGACAGGAGTAAGATTTAAGAAACTTATGAGGAAACAAGAAGTAGAAATGATTGCAAACTATTTTGAGGAATTAAGAAATAGGAAGGAAGCAATGATTTTATAATAAATGCATCTTTAAACTCACAGAATACTGTATAAGGTAGCAGGATGTTAGTCAAAATAGTTTGTAATATTCCGAAACAGAAGATGTGAATCATGATAATGATCAAACTGTCTTTTTAAGCAATCATGATTTATTAATTACACATTTTTTCATTTATTCATCTATGTAACATTTATTCTTCTAGCCTGTTTAAGAATGTTAATTGTATTATTAACAAAGTCATTGTGAATTCATGATTCAACGTTTTTATCTGATGTGTAACATGTAATTTATTTTCTCTTTTGTAGACTGGTTCTGGGAAATCCTACACGTAAGTATCAAAATTTATTCTCTTTCATTCATTTAATCGTCATCACTATCATTATTATTCACAATCAATCTTTTTCCATTTTTTTGGTCGTTCGTTCTCCATCTTTTTGTAATTTGTGTTTCCTTCCAGCTCATTTCCTTAATGTCTTTGGACTTCCAACCGGTCTTTTTTTTCTAGGAATCTCTTAAAAATATTCTCCCACAAATTTCAGTACTCCTCCTTCGTTCTCCCTTCTAACTTTCCCAAACCATTGTAGCCTTCTCTGGCTAGTACTATTCTGTATCTCTTTTTCATTAAGCATAAATATTGTATTAGTTTCATTCTATTTTAAGAATGACTGGATATGATGGAGATGAAGCTGGGGTTATACCAAGGTTCTGCGAGGAACTGTTCAAAGAAATTCATTCAGACAGGAAGGTAATAACGGACTCAGACATCGTAATAGCAGCACATTTAGAACAGGCCATACATGCAGGGCACGTATTGCAGATATAAAACTAATGATTTGATTAACAATAAGCAGTGTTGATCTTAGAATGACATTAATGGTAAAATCAGGTCTTGTGAGGAGCCAAAAGAGGGTGCTTGAAAACCTGAGCATCTTCATCTTGTTAGTCGCTCAACTGAGCATGATCCAATGTCATCAATAACAAAATTTGTTTTTTTGCATTTAGTTTTTAGACAGTCTAAAAACAATAGGTGCTCCATAAATCAAGCTCCTAGAAGTTTCTAGGCATATACAGGGCTTTCACGTTCAGAAATCAACGCGCGCGGCCAAAAACTCGCGTGATAAAAGTGGGGCGCGGGAATCAATTTTTTTTTAACAAAAAGCGATAAAGTTGTTTCTATTGAATCATTAAACGTGACAAACCTTTTAATAAATGAACTGAATGCTACACATTGTGTAGCTATGTTCATGTTTCCTTCGGGAGTAATCGTGAAGGGTACCGTCCGACATAGTGATGTTTCATCTTCAAACGTTATCAACCGAAAACAGAGTTGTTTGAAGATGAAGATGGAACAGCGAAAACGAAGTCATTGGAAAACGGAGTCATTTAGAAACGAATTGTTTGAATGAGAGACAAAACAGAGTAATGGGAAAACCTTCGTTTTCGTTTTGGCCAAAACGGTGTGGGCCAGAGGAATCATTTATTATTATTATCAACTCTTTATTTACAATGTTAGCATGAAAAAGGTATAAAATAGCTATACATGTAAAAGATAAAATATTTACAAGCATAGTCAATAAAAGCCAACTATTATAAAAGCCAGCAATGGTAACGGCTCAAGAATAACGGAAACTGAATGATCGGAAAACGGAGACATACGAAAACGGAGTAGTGGAAACAAACTTCCGTTTCTAAAAAGAGTTTCTTAAGTGGATTGACCTATCAGCACCCGGTAATCGCGCTCTTCAAGAGTAATATTTATCACTGGGCGCGCGACTAATCGCTCTAAAAGATAACCTCGGGCGCGTGCCTGCACGGTCGAGCGCTAAAGCGCGCCCCCCATTGACAGCCCTGCATATGCGGAGGCGCATGATTGAGCTGGAGTGCCTCTCCTTGCAAGGCCTGGATAAAATGGCTGAAAAAAATGTGAACAGCTTCTGAAACATCTAGTCATCTGCACCTTTATCAAGAGACTCCAATCTTTCTATACAGAAGTAGTGGTTCAAGAAATATCATTCTTCAAAAATTTCTCAACTTTCTATTTTAATCAATTGAAGTTATGTTGATTAGTATTCTCAATTTTTTTAGAAACATTTCAGTGTGGAAATAAGCTTCTTTGAAATCTATAATGAAAAAATCCGGGACTTGTTGACCTATTCTCCAGAAAGCACAAAACAGGTATGGTGCATAAACTTACAGTGCAGCTAGACGATTGATTTGAATTATTGTTTGTTATCATTTTTTGTAACAAGCAAACTTTCATTGCAGGGCATCTTGGTAAATAAAAATGACATGAAGCTGACTATGTATAGAATTTTTAAGTATTTTGCAATTACGGAACCTGTTAACCTAGCAAATTTAGACATGAAGATCAATACTTTATGATGTAAACTTTATGTATTTTCTATCTGAACAATCAAAACAAAATATAAATAACAAAGAGACTTCAAAGAGTTGAAGATTTTTACAGACCCAATGTTAAGAAACATGGTTCTACGTACTATTTTCTAGGAAAACAGCTACCTGTTTTAAGAAAACTTTGCTCCGATTGAACTTTATCTTTTGTCTTTTATTTGAAGTTACGGATCAGGGAGCATCCTGAACAGGGACCCTATGTACAAGACCTGTCTGTGTAAGCAGTTACTTTATCTTCTTACAAATAAACTTTTTTCTGTCCTTGTGTTCCTTACAAACCTATCAGAACATATGTTTTTCACTTGAACCTAGGTTCTTGAACACTTTTCTGTATCCTAGATGGTAACTTTGTACTTGTTTGTTGCTGGCATTATCTGTTGTTGGAACATTGTTTCTAGAACATATTTTTATTCGAAAGATAACTACAGTATATAGTACACGCTTTTGGTGTATAGAACAGGACTGTTTTAAGTTGCTTGATGTCTCTTAATGTGGATATCAGGCAACAGTGATATAACCTTTTTTTCTATTGGTACTATTATTCTAAGTTTTTATGTCCCTGGAGGTATCAGGAATTTTGATGCTCATAGGTGTTTAATAGGGTGTAGTTACGTATTTTTATTAACTGGTAGTAATTCCTCCAGTTGTGGGGAGGGGGCTTGTATTGAGATAATTGCTTTACAATTTCAAAATTTGAACCTTACACCATACCAAACAGCTTCCTTCAAGTCATCCATACAGGGTATATTTTTTTAATCCATTCATTGAATATTGCAAACAGTCTTTTGAAACACGTGTTTTCCTTTTTGGAAGCATCACATAAAGTCTAGAAATATCTATGTTCAGCATCAAACTTAAAGGATGAAGTGGTCTAGAAGTTTCTCGTAGTAACAAATTAACAGCCATTTCCCGTGATCAGTTTGCAATACCTTTTGAAGTACCGCTCGTTAAGTTCCATTCAAAGAGAACCAGTTGTCGATTGTTGAAGTGAAACTTCCTACTTTCGACTACTTTCGAATGAATTAACATTCGGCTATTGCATTCAAAACCGTTATCAATTAGTCATTTTACATAAGAAAACTCTGGCATTGCATTCTACAAAGCTGAAATTGGTTAAAAGTCAATTTGTTTCTCTTTTGAAACTTTCTCGTGGCTTTTTCATAGCATTGTTGCTACACTCATCCTTTGCTAGCAACACCACAGTAACTTCTTATTAGACATCAAAGGAATGAATTGAAAGAGCATTAACTAATGGATTTCTGTTAAGGATCTCTTTTCACGTTGGAGCATCTCCTTCCTTCTGAACGTTGAGCATCTTCTTCTTTCTGGGCGGTATTGTTAGAAGGAAAAACCGTCGTGCACATACAGGTGCATAGAAAATGGTCACAACTGTTACTGCTATCATTAAAAGCAGCATCTGGCTGTTTCAACCAGCTGACTTCTCAGCATGTTTCCATTTTTCAACAAATGACCCTGAAGTTTGTTACAGGCTTCCATATGCTTTTTTCTCAGATTTGCACAGTTTTCTGTGGTGAAATAATAACGGGCCTAGCTGCAGTAAGCTTTTAATTCGTTACTCTTCCAAAGTCTTTTATTTGCATCCTACTTGTCTTTAATGCACCCATGCTGAACACACCTCTTGAAAGCTTGTTGCGGAAGCTTGTGTTCTACTTGTCTGTTATTGCTTTCTTCAAGAGATTACTTTACTAAAAACTCCCGCCATTTCCAAAATGATTCCTGCTCTAAATCCATAGACATTCATCCATACTGTATGCTTTTTTCAATATCTTCAACTTAAAGCACATTTTTCTACATCTTCAATTGAAATTAATTCGACCTCTTTTATGTATGCTCAGTTATATTCTTATGCTAAAAAGTACTTCCTCTGGCGTTTAAAATACACGCTGGCATTTCAAGAAACTAAAGAAATGAAATCAAATTTTATTCTATGATTTTTAGGTTCACAGTCACGGGCTGGGAAGACATCGAGGTTTGTCTTTTTCCTTTCTGTTTTTTCCAATGCTCCCAAACATATACTATGAATTATAATTTGCTATAGACATCCTAATGGTCAGTCTGATGGACCTTTGGTATATATAAAAAAAATCACAAGAGGAACACTCTCATTCATTACTGTGCTCGTGTTCTCAGGAAATGTAATTCTTTGATAACGAAGCCGCCACCAAGGACAGAGAAAAAGTTCCTTAACAGAAAAAGATCCTTAACAAAAGTTCAGGTTTCATCCTTGCAAATGGGGCTTATTATCTATGGAACTGGCAAAAATTAAGCGGGTAGTGGATAGTGGCTTTGGAGCCAACAACAAAAGTTGTTGTAGTTTTGTATATAGCTACTACCACTAAATGCTAAAATATGAAATGGTTCACAGTGTCTGTTTTCTGAAATAAACAATCCAGTCTTTGCTGCATAGAACCACGTTATAAAAGTCCATTTAATTTTAAGAACACGCCCCATCGGGCATGATTTTATAGAAGATGTGTTTTATGTAACATGCTTTGTTATATATTATGTCTGTGTTTTAATTGACTTCAAGGTATGCAGTGTTGCAGGATCTTTTGTTTTGTTTTAAAAGTGGTTTTGCAATGATCCTTTTCATTTGCTGATGGTAAAAACCAACCTTATGTTTCGTTACTTCTCGTTCCAGTCAAACTTAAGTTCAGCGCAAATTGAACATATCCTTGGCCCTTCTAAGACAATGGAGCTCATGTAAATAGGCGTATTTAGTATCGCGATAATCTTTTAAACTTTGGTCGCAGATCAATCTAAGTAAGAATGCATCTACTGTATTTAGACGCAAGACTGTGAAACTCTCTTTAGCATTTTCTGTATTCAATCTGTCGTTAGGGTTGGCTTGCAGTTGGCAATAGGAACAGAGCAACGGCGGCAACTGGAATGAACGACAGAAGCAGCAGATCTCATTCTGTTTTCACTATCCTTTTGAATCAATCAGAGGTATTCCACAACCTATCGACGTAACTCTATCCTCCACTCTGAGCGTATCTAAACTGGTTACTTTCATGAAACTTTAAATCTTTGTTTTCATTGGCTCTATGTTGTAAACTATGTCATGGAAGATGTTTCATCTTCATTTTTAACATCATCATCAACATCGTCATCATCATCATCATCATCGTCATCATTATCATCATCACCGTCATCATAATCATAATCATAATAATAATAATAATCATCATCATCATCATCATCATCATCAACATCATCATCATCATCCTCATCATCATCACCGTCATAACTTTGAAACATGATATGTTCAGAAAATTATTGTACTAAATTATAGCATTTATTTGGGAAATCAGATGAATTTTGTTTGTTTACTGGTGGTAAGCTAATAAGACTTTGTACCCACAATACAACTAAATGCTTTTTCCCGCACATCATAAAATCAACGCCTGTTTTGTACTCATAAAATCTAGAATGTCATCATTTTTTCAAACTCTAGGGTGCACGTTGATGCATAAGATTGTTGATGCTTTTCATTGCAGACTGGTTTCTTTGAAGACACGGAAACGCATTTATCAAAATCCTGCAAGGTAAACCTGATCGACCTTGCTGGCAGTGAAAGAGCCAATCAGGTTATAAACGAGGAACTGGCTGCAGATTACGAAGCTGCAAATAATCGCCTCAAGGTATCATTCTTGCTAGGTTTCATCTTCAGTTCAATAACAGGTAGTGATTACCTGCTTCTCAGACTGTCAAGACGTGCCCGTATTTAAAGCGATTACTATATATTAATAATCTTTTTCTTAGCCTTTTAACCTGCTAAACAGAACTACTGCCCGTTGTAGGGAGATGCTTGTTGCTGGGTGTTAACTATTTGTAAGGCTTTTACTTAAGGAAAGAAATATCTGTACAATATTGTTTGTCCGTTGTTTTCTTATGTCCATTTTTGGAAAGTGTCAGTTAACGGATGATTCGTCGTCCTTCAATGCTGAATGAAGCTTAAAACAACTCGTCTTGCTTCTTCTGTTGCATTTCTTTCAACAAAATTTCCTTCAGATGTATTTGAGGGACTTTCCAACCACTTGGAGATTCTATATCTAATGTCTTCAAATACAGAGAAACGTTCGTAGGAATTTTTCTTAGTAATGTGCCACTAACATTCTATATAATGCAATCATAATGCAATGTATTTTGTAACATCTTAGGAAGGAAGCTGCATCAATCGATCGCTGCATACTCTTGGCAAAGTAATTTCCCTGCTTTCAGAGAAACAAACTGGTCCAAAAAAGAAGATTTTTATACCTTACAGAGAATCGACTTTAACATGGTATGAATTTAATGTATACATATTTAGACACTGTTATATTTTGTTGTGTTACCATGTACACACCATACCTTCCACGTACACACCATACCATCCTTGATCCATATTTGTGTGTCGATTAAGCCGATCCTGGTTTCTAAATCTTTCTATTCGCTATCTTTTTTGGGTATGATTTTAAGGAAACAACACTGATTAAGCTGGCAGGTGGGTGCATAATTTGCTAGAATCATCTTTATCGTTCCAAGGACATCAATGATATCATTCTTGTGGTAAGCAATTGATCAATATACTATTTAGATTTTTACCTGAAAAATTGACACGAATCAACGGCTTATAGCTCTTATAGTGTTTAGTTTTGTTATTTATGCCTTGCTATGTTTCTTGTTTTTCAATTTTAGGCTACTGAGAGAAAGTCTTGGAGGAAATTCAAGAACCGCTATGATTGCAACAATCAGCCCTGCCAGTATTCATATATCCGAAACATTAAGCACATTGAGGTAAGGAAACTATAATATTTTTAAAAGGTAGTATTAACCACATATTTATCACAATTGGATCACTTCTGTTCATAGAATAACCACAACTCAATCAAGGTTGATCATAGATTAATCACAACTGAAGCATGACTGATCATAGATGAATCACATCTTTTCTAAATCAAACCTTTTACACATTTCATCATCATTGAATTGTGACTGATCACAGATCAATCATAGCTGATTATCAATAAAAATAATTGCTGATCATGATCATAGACAAACCACAATCATGACTAAACACAAATCGATCAAAATGGAGCAATGAGTTATCAAAAATTATTTCAGCCATATGATAGCAAATCACAAATTAATCACAGCTGAATCATGGTTGATCACACATCCGTCAGGTTGAATTACTTCTCTAACTTCTCAGTTGTTAGCTCTTTTACGACCAAAAGTGCCTGCCTGGAGCCACTATAACACCTTGTTGGCAAACAGATGTTTTGAACAAAAGGTCTGTTTCATCCAAAATAATTATAACACCAACTTATTCTTGTTCTCTAAGAAAAATATTGTTAAAAAGCTCAACGGAAATAATTCATAACAAGGACCAAGTTTGATAAAACTTCGTCGTTTTAAAAGATGAAAGGGATATAGGCAAATGGATTTCATTTTGAATTTTGAGTACCTATATATGCGCGTTTTTATATACTCAAATGTAAACATATATTATATAAAGGCAGGCGCTGAAGTATAGCTAGGTAACTACTATGAATTTCTTATTGAACCAAATAACATCTGAAAAATTAACGCTTCTAGTTAATAACTCTATTGGGAAACAATTTTGCTGCAATGAATATAATCATTTCGGGTTGTTTTGACTGCGTTGGGTAGCGAAAGTTTGCTGTTACAATACATGCTGGATATTTATACTACCAAGCTAGCTCATGGAAATATCAGTCTGCGCAACGTAAGATCGATGTATTTCAATGTAGAACATGTTAGTCAAGCAGAGTTTAAAACCTTTAATGTTTCGGCATTTTTCTTAACTCAGTTGTGCGGAAATCCTAGAGAGATTAAACGGTCGTTTGCTGCTGATTTACTCACGAAAAACCAATATCGTTCATGTTCTTCTACTACGAAACAAGCCCTCTTGCTTATTTATCCACCACTGTTGAATATTTCACAAACGGGTTTTCCTTGAAATAGCATTTCCAACACTTTATAAGTGGCTTTTGCTTTTTCAAACAAGTCCGCAAATTCAATTCACAGCTGTCTGGCCTGTTAAATTATCAGAGATAACACATTATCAGACGTGTTAAAGATACTTTATGATTTCTAAAAGCACACATTTCTTATGAAGACTGTCAATTTTTTTCTTTCTGTGCCTTTACGAAAGCATGTTAGGTTTTTGACGGAATTACTATCATCCTCGAAGACTAGTTTTCCGTAAACTGAATCCATCAAACATTTTCTAGAAAGTTTATAAAGACATTTTTAGGTATTTGCATGTGTATTTTCAAAATTATGTTTGCAAAATTTGTGTTTGAATTCACTGCTAGTTTTAATACTTTAATTTCCTTTTCCTGAAAATAGCGATGTTAACATTTTCTATAATAATCAATTTATGCCCAATACTGTCTTGATATCAGAATGCCATAAGTAATGCCCTGCAGTTATTCCAAATGTTTATTTTCATTAAAAAAGGTAATTAATACTTTAGGTAATTAAAAGTATATACTTTAGGTAATGTCTTGTAAATATAGTACAAATATCCGTAACTGCTCAATAAGCAATGTCTTGTTATTATATAAAAAATATCATCTAATATTGTTTAGGTAATGCCCTGTAATAATAGTAAAAATATCATCCAGTATACTTTAGGTAATGGCTTGTAATAATAGTACAAATGAATCCATCGATATACTTTAGATAATGCATAATGTAAAATAACCATCACTGAACAGTATGTGATGTATCTTGAATATGATTTTGTTGATGGCTTGATTAATCGGTACTTGTTTTGCACGTATGAAGTAGTGCGGTATCAGTTTTGGAAGTTTAGGGGAAATCAAGTTATTGGTTCTTGAGACCAGCATACTACAATTTGCAATGCCTATGATGGCAGTGTAGCTTGCTGAAATTCTCCATTTTGTATGTTTGTTGTACATGGTCCTATTCACGTGATTAAATAACATCATCAAAATTCGCAGAATTGGGTCAATTAGTGCAGTTTGATTGTTTTTCAGGTACGCTAGACAGGCTCGAAACATTGTGAACCAAGCGAGAGTGAATGAGGACAAAAATGCTAAAACGATCAGAGGTATAACACCTTTATTGCCTATTCCTGTAAATTGGCATAAACTAAATTTATCTAGGAAATTTTTTAAATCTTTTTATTATGATATTGTCGCTACATAAATTATTTATAAGATGAGATTAAGCTTTGAAACTTTGCGAAATGCACTTGAATTAATCCTTGAATCTTTAAAGAAGTCTGCGTATGAATTTAGATCAACCCAACTATCTAAACGTATCCAAAACTATCCAACAACTCTTTTAAAATGGTGGATATTGCTAAGAGATTTTTTATTTGTTAGGCCTATCAACAAAGATGTTATTTTAGTTGATCGGACAATTGTTATCAAGCGTATTTTGCTAAGTTGTTATCAAGCGTATTTTGCTAAATTGTTATCAAGTGTTCTTTTGCTAAAATTGGTCTTAAAGAGAACAGCGTGGAAACAGCATACCAAACAAGCACGATAAACCCGACCCAAAGCAATTAAAAACTTTCGTGCAGAAGCCCAAACTACAGAACTCTTTCTTCTCTATTATTCCCAATGGCATCTAAGCAGCACATACGGACTTAAATACCAATTGAAAGCATGACAATTGACACCCAAAAGAAAGCATGACAGAAAATAATACAAATCAGCTAATCATAAGAACTCCTAGTAAAATCAAAGTCGAAAACACCCCTCTTGAAATTAACTCTAATGAAATTTCAGATTTCCTTCAAGCAAACCAGAAAATAATAGGCGTTCCGATTCATATTTTTAGTCTGTCTAAAAGAACTTCTCATTTTATCGGGAGCAACTGATTTATTTAAAATTACTCATTTTACCTAAATGGTCTCTAATGCATCGGGCTAATTAAAAGTGCCTTTATCTAAACAGAGGTTTATTTTCTGCTGATGTATATGACGTGTTTTTGAACAACCATAGGGATAAAAACACTCTTGCGAGTGCCAGAAAATTCCAGCAAGTGAATGTCTCAGGACTAAATCCTATTTTCTTTTTCGAATTGATCTTTGTTTACCTCTTACTGCAGCACCACAGCTTGTCCCAATCAAAGATATCTTATATAGACGCATGCATATTGAATAACACCTACCTAATGTCACAGTAGTTTTGGCAAAGAGTGGTGTTAGGATTACGAAATGGCATAATGTTTTCATGTTAGATGCCGCGATATTTTGTGATCATACCCGTTTATCATCCATGATTTATTGCCTAAAATAAGTTTGAGACTTCCAGGATCGATGTATCTCACATTTACTAATACCTTTAAGTTAAATAAAGGTATCAATGTGTACCCAAGATATCTTTAATGTATAAATTATTAAGTTATCCACTGCTTTTAATCCGCCATGTAATATTTCTTGTGACTCTATTATCATATAACGGTTGCGCGAAGCATCATCCAACCAATTGTTTTCACATTTAAGATCTCGACATCGTTTTCTGTGTATAATTCATGTTTGTTTTCCTCGGCCATAAACCATTATACATGAGGGTGTGAAGCCATTCATTCCGCAAGAATTGTCAATGCCAGCTGTCCATAATAGCAGTAGATAGCCAATAAGCCACAAAGGACCAAGCCTGAATAGTTACACAGAATCTCACACCAGACTCTGAATCAGTGTAACCTTTTTGGCTGTTGCCACATTTCCTAGAAGCCCTCACTGCAGTAACAATACTTAAAAATAGTTTACTCTGTATCGTTTTGAAAATTGGGTACAGATGTGTTTTGCGCTATTTATTTTATCCATAGAGACAGAATAATAGTCTTTCTTGACAAATCTCTATGATTTAGCCTAATTTGATTGTAGAATGCAGTTTACACTACGTAGAAAAATTGGATTCTTCGAAAAATTGACCATACGAAATTTTACCAAGCTTCTCTTATGATAATTTGACAGAATCAGGATGAATTTAGTACAACTTACCCCACCCCCACCTGGTGCAGGGTGCTGTGAACGGGGTGTTTGTTGCAAGGTGTATGTTACCATAGATCTTTTATGTGTGGCCAATGCTCTTTTATGCTGTTTAAGAATATTCTTATACACTTTGACCACCAGGTACATTTACTCAATGCAGTTTTTTAATTTAGTCTTTTTGTCAATCCTTGATATCAAAGAGATATTTTTATATTGAAAAGCTGCTGTTTTCATTTTCATTTGTTTTTATTTCTTTTATCTCTTCTATGCGTCATTTGTATCTCTTCTAGGCTTTTTTGATCTAATTTCATTGGTAATTGCAGTCCTCTTGTCTCTTTTCTTTAGAACTCCTTCGTGAGATAGAGCGCTTAAAAGATTCAAAGACAGATGCCAAAGAAGATATTATGGAACCTACCACCGAGGAGGTTGAGATTTTGAAGTCAAAACTAGTTGAAGCAAATGAAATTCTTTCACGAACAGCCAGGTAGGAATTTTTATCGTGCTACGTGTTGTTTACTGTTCACGAATTCAGAATATCTTCAAAGGGCTTTTATTCTAAATGATCCTTTTGCAGTGATAAATTTAAACATGTTAGCAGAATAGGGAAATAGTGACTTTACAATGCATTTCTTTTCGTCTGAAGAGTAAAAAACATAGAAAGTATCGTAAAAAACAAGGATATAAGAAGTTGGTTTTTGGATCAGACTGCACAATCCCTTTTAATGAGAATAAATTTTGAAAGAAATGGCTTACCAGTTTCTTTACAAGCTGAAAAAATAGCAGGACCACCCTTGAATGAAATGATTTTTATGCATAGACAGAGAGTAATGAATTTTCCAAGCATTGATTTAGATTGAAGAGGCTTGAAGTTATTTTGCTTATGGAAATCCCCTTCTTATATTCGTTTTGCTTCACAAGCTTTTTTTCTGAATAAGCATTTATGATATTGAAAACAAATTCATTGGAAGTAAATTGAAAATAAATTCAGGATCAACGTGTCTTATGTTGTGGTACACAACTTTGAAAAAGCCAACTGCATTTCTTACATACGGGTTTTCATGTAATTCCTGTAATTTTCTTTGCATTTTTTTGGCAGATATCAATTTTTTGTTTGTTTGATTATTTGTCTGCTTGTGCTAAAGGCTCGTCAACTTCATTTTCGCTTTTCTCTGCCATTTCCAGCTTCTGCCCATATTTTCAGACAAGCTGGAAGAATAAATTGTTACAATGTTTTTTCCGTAAATTTCACTCGAGGCCTAAAAAAGGCCTTTAGATATTGTCTGGATGCCGACAAAAAACCCCACTTACAATTTCTAGAATTCAGATCTTGGAAAACGTAGCTTGATGTTAAAGAAGATAAGCAGTACGGCGACAAATAGAAGCATATTTTCTTGAATTGAATTTCTCTTCCGACATTATTAATCTAATTTTCAGTGAGACATTCCAGTTGTTACAAAATCAGTTAATCATGAACAGTAGAGAGACAAATCCAGATTTTACATAATCAGTTAGACATAATCAATAGACAGAGATCAGTAGAACGTTTTGACTCTAGCTAGAGTCATCTTCAGTAAAGTAATAAAAAGAGCAACAAAGTATGGAAGGATAAATCAATACAGATAGTAAATCATGTGACTTAACAGTACGTGATAGAAGCAATCAGGACGCGAAGGAAGACTAAGAAGAGTGTAGTAAACACCTTACAGAAAAATGAGCAAAGAACAAAGGAAGAAAATAAGAATTGAAAGGAGAGAAAGAGAATCTGAAAAGAATCATGAGAATAGATGATTGTTGGGAATTATGTGTTCATAAGAACAAAGGTCTATCTGTGTATAAGAAGGCTTTCAGGAATGAGCGAGTCAAAAGAGTTTTCCGTTTTTGAAAGGATAATCGTGAAATTTTCAAAAATGGCTACATTGATTATGTCTAACTGATTTTGTAACACCTGGAATGTCTCACTGAAAATTGGGTTAATAATGTTGGAATAAAAATTCAAAGCAAGAAATGTCACTTTTTTCCGCCGTACTGGTTATCCAATTTCTAGAATAGAGTTTCCCATTATTAGCTCCTTGTCGTGTTTTCAAGAAATCTTCTAGTTATCCTGTCAATGACATTGTCATAGCATTCCAAGAACATAAAAAGAATTTCTATTAAAATAGATAAATATCTGCAGATATTTAATGACCTAACAACTCCAGGGCTTGGCTTGGCACTGTATCAGGATTCATTGCCCAAAAGGTCCTCAGTAATCTGTGAAAGTTTTATGCTTTTATCACAATGTTATTTTGGTCGATAGCAGCTGGGCTACAAGGGACACCTACCTTACTGCAATTCTACTCCTTAAAAATCCAGTGTTTTATTATAGAGAATGGGAAAGCAAGTTGCAACTTTCTGAGCTTCGTTGGAAAGAAGAAACTGAAAGAATTAAGGTAAAATGATGCTTTCCTGTGAATGTTTTATTTGTTTTTGGTTATCTGGTATTCTTCACATACGTCAGGCGGTTATAAAAAGGCAATGAGTCGCTTGGTATGTTGCAATAAAATCGCTTGGCTTAATCAATAGCCTAAAATGTAGCTACGCCAGCAATTTAGTTTGCCTGTATTGTGCTGAGTAACATTTAGTTTTTGCTTGTAGCAATCCGGCTTGGTCTCGCATGTGAGCAACAGTTCCCCAAGCTTGGTCAATCTGAACGAAGACCCGATGCTAACAGAGATCCTCGTCTATGTTTTAAAAGATGGTATGTTTACCCTTTACTAAAAGATTGTACACAAATCGCTCCCAGTGAAAGGCAGAGGGGATGTTTTATTGTCTTTGACTTCTTAACTTTGCTTGGATGGGTATATCGAGAAGGAAGGGAATCACCCAAATACTTATAACTAACCCCTTGCCATAAGTTTGTTGATGTTTTACTCTTCTAAAATATAGATAGACAGCAGGGATGATTATTTTTTCTAAGTTATGTCTTTTCTCTGTCCCAGTAAATAACTCTTCTGCTTAGAAACTGCCTCCGTATCCAGTTGCAACCTAACGGTTGCTTGCTGACCCTTAGTTTTTTCGTACAACATTGCCATTCTAATCTGTTGGAAAATCATATCTTGCTTGCTTGCCCTGGAGTCAACAGATCAATTCTTTAGAAATTTGAATTAGAATATGACGTTTAATTCTTTAGAAGTTTCCTCAAAATTGCTTAGTTTCATGATGTTGATTTCGGGATATTGTACCATTCGTTAGTTATCTCTGTAGTGAGACCGTTGTTTAACGTTAACACAATTCTTGGAGGATAGGAAGGCCTTGGTCAGATATTAAACATTTTGTCTTTAAATCAAGTTTTCAACCTAAATCTCTTGATAATAAATATTTATACAGGGTAAACCTTGTCAGTACATCATATACTGTTATTAATAAGGGCCCTGTTAATGCTTCTCTTCCTCCTGTTATTCTAACATGGATACAGTGAATGAGACTCTTATCAATCCGCTCACAATGAAACAGTTCTTATTCTTTTTGAGTAATTTGATATCTTAAAAATCTTCTGTTGTTTGGAGCGCTGAAAGCAAAGTTTCATAAGAGTTTACTTTTTACAGGCCAAACGACATTTGGGAATTCATCCTCGCAAGAAAGCTACGATATAAAGTTGAACGGTCCATTGGTTGCTGATTTTCATTGGTAAGATTGATCTGGTCGTATTTTCTTCCGTTGTCAATTGACTACTTTCTTTCATTCCATTTATATTTGTATTTAAAACGGTTGCCCCATCAGTCCAAAAGACTGCTTTTCAAGGGGCCGTATCGAATCTTTACAATATTTTAAAATAAAAGAATTCATTAAAATGACATCTATATTTACAGTTCAGAAAAGAAAAATAATATAGTTAGATTGACAAAGGCAAATTGCTCTACAGCCTACGCTTAAAGTTGCCAAGGGAGGTTGCCTGTTGGAAAAGTTAAGGCAATTCAGTCACGCTGGTTACGTAAATCTTTAAACTCAAACCTAAACTTTTAAGCTCCTAATCTCAAACCAAAATGAACGCTTCTAATCTGAATGTAGTTTTGGTTAACGAGAGAAGCTGCGGTACCATAATTATTTTTCTAAAATGGTTTTCGTTGTAGATAAATTAAATGGCTAACATTTTGAAATACATCTCAGCTTTTCATATTTTGGATTCTCCAGAATTCAAAACTTCAGAACATCTAGATCTAAAGCTATAAAAGAGGAAATATATCTACCTAGACGTGGATCGAAATAGGTCAACTAGAAACGCGAGGATATATTCCCCACTTTAATAAGCATCATAAAAGTTGATCTAGATATCAAAAAAGGCAGATACTTTGCATAATATGTCTGCAACGATTCAGTTAAATTGTTAAATTTTGACGCCTAGAAAGAAGCAATGGAACAAAAACGTGTCCTTTTTTCTTTAACAATACTGATGCCTAAGCATAACTAATATAATCTGCAGACTCTCTAATCGCGTTTTGTTTATGTAAATCAGAAAATCAGATACAATAATCATCATATCAATATAGTCGTGTAATGTTATCGTTTATGGCATAGCTGTTATTCAATACTTGCCAAGTAAACATTATAACCTGTTTTTCTTTATTTATAGCTGCATTATCAATGAGAACAAACAAGTTAATATATCGCCTACAGGTAAGACTTTGCTATTAGATTTTTTAAGTAGCATTACTCTTAAACCCAACTGACTTAGATAAGGTCAGATAAGATCAGCAAAACTGGAAGTTTGCGAAATACAATGGAGTCATCATGTTACATTCTTTCCAGGGGAAGAGAGGCCAAGTATCCTGGGAGGGGCGGGGGTCAAATGCCCCTAGCATCATCCTGTTGCAATTTTTGTGTTTCCTCGGATGAATCACATTTTATTCTTGTTAGTTTTCAAAGATTTGTCTAAACATATGTTTTGAGAATGGATTTCAATTCCGTTTCGACATTAAACCATGTTTGATGATGAGCAACTATTGACACACTTGCTTCGATAAACAATGCTTTTTCTAAAAACCGTATCATAGCAGGCCCAAAATGGACACTCTCTTTTGTCAGAATTGTAGATATATCAGCCCTATCTGCAAAACTAAGACCACGACGCCCCTGACATTTTCTCTCATTTCTTCGAAAGATTGAACCCACCCCTTAAAGCAGGAGATCGGGAGGCCTAAGCGTAATGTTCTAGCCTCGTTTTAAGTTGGTAGGTGTAACGTAGGCCTGCACTCGTTTGTGTGGCTCGGCCTTGATATACAACACTAAGAATTCAGTGGAGTTATTCAAATCTCATGGCTGTAGGCTAAATCTGTTCAGGTGCAGAAAACATGGCAAGGACTGCAAGAAAGACAAATAAAAACAAGTGAAGTTAAGGCGACAACCACTAACCTCGCCTTTTTTCCTTGTTTTTTGAGGAAGGTTTTAAGTCAATATGAAGAGTTCTGGAGTAAGGCTGGACCTATTTCTGAATCACGTTGAGCTGCTTTTAAAAAAGCTAAAGATTTTCAGTTTACATTACGTGCTGTGAAAATCTATCCTTATGATAAAAGACCCTTACTTTAATCAGTTGCTCAGTGTTAGTATCTTTACGTTATTTATTCGTTGGCCATTAAGGTAGATGCATTGAATACCCTTTGGTAGCTTATTCAGTCTCGTGTTTACGCCTTTGAATGTTTCTTGTTCAAAACAAAGCAGATGACTTTTACTAAAAGATTCATGTTTGATTTTTGTGTTGTATTCGCTATGGATGTTTTGATTTTAGGAGACGCTCCGGTCTATGTGAATGGAGAGCAAATTTCATCAAGTGCTACACTGAAACATGTAACTTTTTCCTCATAATCTTTTTCAAAATATACAAACTCTTTGAAATCATATAACAATGAAAGTACATTTTTACAACACCTTGATGTGCACCTACAACACAAGTACATTATTCTAAATGGCATCCTATTTAAGTATTCACAACTGATCTTACATTTTTGATCGATATCTACTAGATTGAGCAAAAATGCCTGGAAATGCTTCTCTGTAAGTTACGTCACATTTACGATGCATGGTACCAACATATACAAAATAATATTTTTGCAAAGATCTTGCAATTTATAGCTCCTGGTAGCTGTTTTATTATTCTTTTCAGTTGTCATAAAATTTGCTTTTTCTTCATACCCAACAATGCCTCTACCTTAATCCTTGCAGGGCGATCGTATTGTTATTGGAGGCTCCCACTTTTTCAGGTAAGCTAATTTTCCAATGTATTTGGTACTTCGTCTTGGCAGTGCTGAGAGAACCTGAAACTTAATTGAATTTTATAATTATTTTTCTTGACATACAATGCATTGCTTTTGACTTAGTTGAGATTTTATAGTTATTGATTGACTTTATAGTCATTTTTCATAATTGAAGCAAAACAAAGCACGAACCTCATCTCAAATGATTCTGTTTTTTATCCTCCGAACTTTTTCTCTTCTCTCTTTCCTCCATCGCGTTTTCAACTTTACCCCACTATTCCTGTCTGTTGTCGCACCGTTTGAAAGCACTGTGTTTTTTTTAGAGAAATGTTTTTTCATCATAAATTTTCTATGTAAAGGTGTTAATGATATACACGAAAATTTAACTTAACTACAGTCAACGGAAAAGTCATTACAATTCCCTACGTTTTAATGATGTTTGGTTATTTTCAATAACAACAAAGCACTGTATGCCATTAACACAAAATGAGTCCACATAATAAAACCCGGTCGAGTCCTTCATTTGGTGGACATAAATGCAAACACAACTCTTGCTAATATCGTATAAGCAAGGAACACAGTCTGTTTCGATCTTCAATTTCCAGGTACCATTGGTCTTTCTTCGGTCGGAGTTTGTCGTCCGTTTTTAGAGGGAAGTCCAGGAAGCCAACCCCTCGATTAGGCTGCCAATTTACATCGACCCTTTTTCGGTGTTGACCAATTTTTGAACAACCTTACGTTCGTGTCCAGAAGGGCTAGGCCTGTTTGTGTTCAGACTTGGTTCATCCCTTCCTTGTTTGTGGCTCAACAACTCTGCGATCGAAGTTGTAGTAGTCATACTCATCGAAGTACTGCGTCATAGCTTGAAAGAACTCAGATGACTGCTATGAGTATATTCAACCTTTTGCAACTTGTTTTCTCCAACCCGAAGCGTGTTTGAGTTCATGTAGAACCCATATAGATCTGTTTGAGAACTCGAAGCACTGTGTTCATTTAGGCTACAGTTGCATGCACAAAAGGTTAACTCACTGATGAAATTTTGGCGTGAATCCAGCCGCTCTATCATTTAAGATCAAGCTGCATGCACATCCTCTGGTGGTTTTCTTCTTGCACAGACAACTATCCTTAAGTTATTTTGTCATACCACTTCTTGTGCATCTTTGAAAAGCTATTTTTCTCTTTAGAATAAAAACTTTTTAGTAGCTCTTCAAAATATCTTTAAAAATTCGCAACGAAAGACTGATGCACGTCTGCCTTGATTCTTGCAAAGCTCCGTGACTTTCTACTATGTTTCTTGCCTTTCTTGCATTCAGTGTTCTATATTTGATTACTTCTCCAACATTTCTTCGTTTTTTTCCTTCTCTGTGGTTCAGCTCTTTTTTCCCTGTCTCTATTCACTTCTTATCTTCCCCTTCTTTCTTTTTCTCAAGTCCTTTTCTATCTTTGTGAAAAACCTAGCCTTCCTGTGAACTCAGCATTGAATCAAGTACTCAACACATATTTTAGTCGATTCCACCTCCTTAGGCATTCAAATAGTTTTATGGCTAAAAGCACAAGGCAATGCTACTGAACTGACCCAATTTATGAAAGAAATAACGTTTTTATCAATTTTTCATGTGTTCTGGTTTAAAAGTTATTGACATCATTTTTTCCTCAGATTTAATAACCCCAGTTTGGTGACAGACCCTCCGAAAAAATTGGCAAGAAAACCTTCGAAACGTGAACTGAGAAGAAAATGGGATGGATTAAAACTGAAAGATTTTGAATTTGCAAAAAGAGAGCTGACACAGCAACAGAATGCAAGGTTTTATTCGGAGTTTAATTCTTTAAATACTTGCCTAGTTTAATTGCTCTTAAATCCCTTAAGTACATGGTTTGTTATCAAATATGTTATCAAAGACAACCTGAAGCCTTCGTAGTAAAATAAGATAGTTTGAGGCAGAAACATATTTTCAAACTGAAGGGGATATTCTAACCAAGCATATTTGCTACATATTTTTTCAAGTTTATGGTAATAGGTGGAAAAACCTACTTTTTTTGTTTTATCATGCACCAGGAGTATAATGGTTTGCCTTTTTACTTTCTTGTCTTCCTCTTCAAAATATTTATTCTTGTCTTTCTTTTCGATATATTTTGTATTGTACGATGATGTAAATAGCGAGCAAAAAGAATAAAGATATATACGATTCAATACGGTTATGTTTAAATTTCTATTTATCACCTATCCTTTCACTAAATATATTCTAAAATGAGAAGTTTCAGCAGTTAGACAGTACTGCAATGTAGAAGGGGGGGGGGGGCGTTGGCATATTCAAGGCTACTGCCTAGACAAGAAAAATTTTATTCAGAAAAGATAGCCTTAATTGAATGACTACGTCCCAGAAATATACACAGCTTTCAAACACATGCTAACAGCCTTTCTATTCCGTGTAAAAGCCCTATCAGGTATCATCTTCAAATAAGATCATTTCAATTTTGCAAGCGATACGTCGTTAAGCTTGCAGTTGTTTTGATGTTTGTGACTTCCCTTTTTTTGTATATTCCATTAAAACTTAAAAAATCTAACAATTTTGTTCCCATGCTGTGCAAATTACGTTAGGCCGTTTCCGTGCTGATTATTTTCAGAAAACATTGCCATTATAAGTCGAGGCAGAGAAAAGCTAGATTTTTCTATTCATGGGTCTCCCTTTAATTTTTCCATTTTTACTGAATTTATCCCAATTGACATTCGCAAAAAAGGATATGCAAATGTATGTTTTAAGGTATTGTAGGGATGTTTTGTCTTGCTTTTTTGTTTAATGATTCACAAAACACGGCCAAAAGTTTCTTCCGTAAATATTTTTTTATTGAATGTAATGTTCAATTTGATTTAAAATCATATAAATTATTATTGAAGGCTAGAGGCTGAGTTAGAAGAGTCTCAAGTTAAAGCACAGGAAGACCTGATCGATGTTATTGCGAGTGCGAAGGTGGGTATATCATTGTTATACTTTCTGGCTACATTCTATGCCAACAAATTTTCTTATATTAGAAATTACTGACTTTGGAGACTTAGAAAGTATTTGCAATTTTAATAAAATGATAAACACAAAAACAACCATTGGCGATAGTCATTTCAAAACAAGTTATCGTTTTATTGCCTGCATGAATATTTCTGGAATAGTTATTGTGCTATTGATATCAAACTACACTGACATGAATTGCAATAATTCATATGCAGAGACAAGCCCTTACTTCTTTCTCTAAAATTTTTAAATTAGGAAAATGCAGAAAGACAGTTATCACTTCAAAGAGAGGCTTACAAAGATGAGATTGCAGATTTGCAGAACCGCCTTGTAAGTTCACAAATTTAGAATTTCTTTCCGTAAGCCCGATTTTGAAGTATTTCTTCGATTCACTCTACAGCACTTATAGACAAGCCATCACAATTAGGCATAGCCAACACATGGCCTAGCCAATATTGTTATGATTTTGTCCCGATCCCTTCGAGGTAGTTGATTTTTAACTCTTATTGTCACAATTAGGGCTCAACTAGGAATAGTTTGGGATCTGTATAATATTTCGACTCCTTTACTAATCATTCTTGGTTGCCACTATAACAGTATGTTTTTCTCATTTCTTTGCTTTGGTTACCACTGTAACAGCATATTGTTCTTATTACCTTGCTTAGATTAAAAATTATTGTATTTAAAAACTGTATTTATTGTATTTAGACTATTTTATTTAAAAACTGAAATCAATTTATCAAAAGCCTTTTTGTTTCATTGTTTGTCTGATATACACGCCAGCCTTGTTGACAATCTTTGCTAGTAAGAACCTTTTATGACTACCAACTGCCTTCGAAAACCAATCGCAACTTTTAGCATCGTATCCATCTACCCCCCCCCCCCTCCCCCACTCTCTATTTTCAACTGTGTTAGTTATTCTAGGGTAAGGTTTGCCTCCATGGAGAATTCTACGTTGTGAATGTGTGGTTTAGCTTTAGGGATCACAATTACGCTTTAGTGGACACAATTACGTAATAAGTCCTAATTTTTCTTTTCTTTTCATAAACATTTAGTAGAGCAATGGTGTATTGCTGCCCCACCGGCGAAGATGCAGTATACATGAATTGGCTGAGACGGTACAAAGAATAGAAAAAGTGCATAATGTATTTGAAAACTGTTTATATATACTGCCTTGTTTTCATTCCCAGGAAGAGGCTGAGTGTAAGAGAAGAATCGCAGAGAAAGATCGACATCTTGCTGAAGATCAAATACTTCAACTCAAGTCCCATAAGCAGGTTGGTCTTGCATTGCATCAGCATTACTTTCCTTTAATAGAGTAGGTGTCGTGGTATTGTAAGTTTTGACGTGTGTTTGTGTATATTCGACATATTAAAGGAGGGTTTTGGACAGGGCATGAAGAAAAATGACCGTGACCGTACAAAACTCATGCATAAATTTCTTGCAAGAATGGAAAGATAAGAGAAGAATGGTCAGGTTCCAATAACAGTAGCGATATATAACCAGTTTCGTAAGGCATTTGTGCGAATTAAGCAGTTTCACTATCACTCAAAATCATTTTCTGCATTGATGACTGAAATTTTTTCTTTTATTCTGGAATGCCTACATTGATTTGGAAAGGGGGCTTAGCTAGGCAGATCAAAATAGGTTGGCTGTAATGGGGGCAGGCATTCAAACGAGGGGCAAATCACTGCTTGAAATCACGTACGCTCTCAAGAATAATCACACTTTAATCACAAATTAATCACATTAATAAAAAAACAAGTTAATCACAAAAATTACTTAAAACAAATATTAGAATCCTTGCCCACTTTTATCCAAATATGTTATTGAAAAATTCATTTTTAAAATTTCCCATTCACACTTTTCCAATCTTTTCATGAACACGTTGGAAAATCAGCAAACATACGCGCGAGAACAACAAGCTTTTATAAGTACCCTGCAATGGAGCAAAATTGAAGGCCTCGTTATGATGCCGGGGTCACTGAAACAACCATTGCTGTTTTTGTTGCCTAAATGCCACTGAAGTTGATCTGACCAAAAACCACGTCTGATAGCAGTCATTTTTCACCCATTGCTACAGGGGCGGATCCAGACAGTTCCGGATTTCGCAGTTGCAACTGTTACATGTATGAGAAGTGATTTGTCAGAAACTTGTAATTTTCACAGATAAAGTTTGATAATCAAGTTCCGTATTTCTGGAACTTGTAATTTTTTATATCAGTGAAAGTTTCAGGAATGACAGTTTAATTTCCCAATAGCGGCATCACTTGCGAGGGCAGAGAACAGAGCACATGCATTTGTCTTAATGTCTTTCATTCCAGGCTACTTGCTTCCATGTTGCTAGTGATAATGTTCAGGAAAGATAGCTCTTTTGATGCATATTCAAATTCTTATGACAAAAGTAACAGCCCACAGAACAGAAAACATGCATTTGTCTTAATGTCTTTTACAAGGTGTTCAACAACTGTTCGCTTGTTTTTTCATTCCGGGCTATTTGGATCCATGTTGCTAATGCTATTGTTCAGGAAAGATGGTTTTTTTGATGCAAATTCAAATTCTTATGACGAAAGTGGACGGCCCACAGAAGAGAGCACATGCATTTGTCTTCATGTCTCATTCAATTGATGAACAACTTTTCTCTGTTTTTCACTTCAGGCTACTGTCACCCTTCATCCATGATGTAGGAAACCTATAAAATTGATTTAGTATTTTGCTTCTGCTGCTGTTCAGAAAAAATATCTCTGTTTTTAGTTGTTAGTGTTATTTAACTTTTGTACCTTTTTCGTTTGCAAATCTGCAACGATCAAATTTTTTTCTGGATCCACCCCTGTGCTGAACTGCTAACTTTTTTCAATTTCATTTAGTATGTTACAAAATCGTTGACGACGTTTATTGAGCATGAAATTTTTTGAGATCACTTTTGAATCTATGATTCAGTTTCTAAAAAATCAAAAATTAATAAAAAAATTAATCGCTTTTACCACTAAAGATCAAATTAATCACACACAAAATTGATTTAATCACAAATCAATCACTAGTGATTATTAATCTCGTACACCATTTTCAAGAGTGATTTGCCCCTCGCATTCAAAAATAAGCCAAAAAGTTCCATCCTTTGACGTTTTTGTATCCATGAAAGTTTAAACAAACAGTAAAGGCCTTTGGTACATCAACATAGCAGTAATTGGTAAGAATTTCAAAGAATTCTGCAAATTAAAACAAGGATTCTTAAGCCAGATGAAAAACTAAAATTTCTATAAAATTAGAATTTTCGAGACGAAATTTTACAGGTTTCTAGGTAGGAATACCATTTGAATGTGTACAAGGCATGCATGAAATTTGTGTACAAGGCATACAAGTCTGTTGAATTTGTAAATTGCTTTTGTCTTCAAGTTTTCTTTTTGATAGATATAAAAGAATAGCAAAAAGTGCCTTTTGTATAAGGATATATTTTGAAAATTTCTTGCAGAACTTTATGCACGAAAAATTTCCTGTCACCGCCAGGTCACATGGTCGGGTGGGTTTTAATGCCCTGGTTTTGGATTTCTTTAACTTCACAGATTTAATTTTTTTGGATTGGCTACTCAATGCATACGAAATCTGGATCTCGAAAAGTTTATTACCGACAAACATTTTTTTTATTTATGCTCATAACAATTTACAACAAAATAAAGGCAGAATTATGCACCTTGACGATTAAGATGTTGGAGTCTGCAGGCAGGGCTGTCAGTTGTGTTCATCACCTATTTTGCCTATTTCGATTTTGGCTCAGACTTCAGACAAATAAAACATAACGATATCAAAATGATAAACAACTCAAAAATGAGATACATTTGATATCATTAGAAGCCTTTTTGATATCATTAGAAGCTTAGAAGTTTGCCTGGTTATTACATAAGCCTTTAGAGGTCAGAGCTACTTCTTGTTCGAAACTGCTTCGCGAAATTTCCCTCAACGGTTGAAAGCCAAACCTTTTTGTAGTTTAATGCTTTTATTTGCTTGTTAAAGATGTTAACAGGAGCCAAGTATTTAGCCATCATATTGAATGATGTAGGCAATTTTTTGTCCTTGTTGTCATTAGTGTTTAAAGACTGGTTTCATTGCTGTTCCATAACTTTTTATCTCACAGGCGTTGGAAGAAGAAGTTCAAAACAGCAGAAGAAGACTGCATGAGGAAGCCCTAACTGCAAAACAGGTCTGTCTCACTTTCCCAGCATTTTTTTAAATTTTGAAAGTTTAGTTTAGATGTTGATTACAGCATTTCTGGAGACCGTCCGGACTACACTGCTTAACAACCTTCATTTCCTGGAGAGCTCCCTCGTAAGGCAGGCATGAAATCTCATCGATACACGTTCTTATTACAAGCCAGTTTCACGTGTCTGCCGCTCAGCGAAAGTGCCCAGATCAGATGCACACATCTTTCCCTCCCCCCCCTTCTCAAGCTGCATTGTGAGCTATGTAAGATACCAGCCTGGCCCAGTATTGCCGCTTACATTTTAATTTAGACATGATGCATTAAGACGTCATTTCTTCTTAATTTATACATAATTGTATTTAAATAATCCTTATTACACTGTAATAAATGATCCTTTTTTTGGAGAAAATGCTCGTCATTCACACCGAGTCTTAACCCTCCTAACTTCACAAGTAAAGACGTAAATATTCTTTAATGAAAAAGCACCGCAAATTTAGATTTGTACAAGGTTTTGATGAAGGTGATCTCCTTGTAGGCTTTTGAGGAGACACGTGCTAATCAGCTAACAATCATTGCGGAACTTGAAAAGGAGAAGAAAAGAATCGAGGACGATGTTCACAATTTGAAGAGCAAAAAGGTATGAAGCTGTGTTAGCATAGCTCAATTGATTTCAATCAACCGAAATACCTTTTTATGGCTTGTGCAAAGTTGTCCGCTTTTAGTTAAACCGCGGCGTCAAGAAAGTCTAGAATTTGGCAATAAAGAATTTTCAGAAATTTCATCATCCACTACTTCATCCACTTGCACATTGCGTTACAAAAGTCAAACCCCCAACCCCTGAACCCCCCTCCCCCCTTCCCTCATAAAACAATCTTTAGTGTATGATCTCTTGTTTTAAACATTTTACTTTCCATACCATTTAACACAAAATGTCAAGAAACTCAGTGAATAGCAGTTTCAAAAACAGAAAATTTCGTGTATGTTTTCATTTTATCTTTCAATCGTTTCTTAATTTAGTTCCAACGAAATTTGGTTAGAAACGAGATTAGAACGGCGTTGACTACATGTCACAAAGGTAGGTCAAACTCAAGTCTTTTGTCTTACCAATGTCGTTACAATGTCTGTTTCTAACAACCAGTAATTCTCTGGTCGTTAAGGCTTTCATTGTAGGAATGTTTGATTGGCATAAATCATAGTATATGCATAAATTTAGTACTTTCCAGCGAACCAATGGGGTCAATTGATCATATGTTTTCTGAATAGCGCGATTATTTTCCAATTCCAAGGGTATGTTCTTTTAAATATTTTACTTTTTAAACGGGCGCATTATTTAAGCAGAGTCCACTGAAGTGTCTTCTTCACAGACAAGGTGAGAAAGAGAACAAAACTTGCGCGTTTGACTTCAATTTTTTGCTAGCAGTTACTTTTGTAGAGTGACGAAAATTGAAAATGACGAGCCGTTGATGCATGCACGTTATCTAGCATTTGAGGGTGTTCATCCTGATTCTTTGCAATATTTGTTTGAACCAAAAACTCGTAACCAAAATACTATATTGTCATTGGATAATCCCCTTGATCGTTAAGTCAATATAAATTGCATTCTTTTATCGCGGCACCCACAGCCCAATTTTGCTTTATTACGCCCACATAGACTTGTCCAATGAGAAAATATTAGAAATCTGTAGTTTATGATTTGACACACCAGTGCGCGTAGCTCTTTCCAACAGTTTTTGAGACTTTATAAAGAGAGTTTTCAATAAAGCCATCAACTTTGCCATCAATTTACTGTCTCTTCGATTTCAGTGAAGGCCTCAAAAGGCTTTTCGAATCCAGTGTTTTCAAGAATTGTCAATTGTGCGCAGCAATTTCTGTGTTTCTCAGTAATATCTGCAATTTCTCAGTAAAAGCTTCAAAAGCCGCCAAAAGAGCCCTTCACTTGCGTCGAGTAAGCGTGACAACAAATGTCAAATGTTTTGGCGCTAAAAATGTTTGTGTTGAGGCTTGGGTTCAATAGGTATGCTGGAAAATCATAATTTACATTCTGATGTGTGCTTGGCGAAGAAAGCTGTTGCGAAAGAAACACCGCTGTTTAATTTCATAATTTGCTGTTAGATGTTATGCTTTTTTGTTTTTGTTCTGTTATTCTGGCTCTGTTATTCTGGCCTATGCTTCATTCGTACGCTAGTTCACAAATCTTCACTTGTTTAATCATATTCTGTGCAGAACACAGCTAACAAGAGAGGCCATTTGCAATACGTTGTTTAGCTTAAATTCTCATAATGTCACAGCATCATGCTGTTTCTATCCACCTAAACTGTTCAATTGCAACAAACATGTATACTGCTAGCCTGCGTCACAGACCGAAAACTTCCGTGAACTTCAATATTATACTGCAATATTATTAAAAGATGTCAGTGGACAGAATTGTGCGAAATTATCCTCTCTAGACTAAAGGTAATTATCTTGAAACCTCTAAGTAAATTATATATCCCATGTCCATTACTTATTATTAGACGTGCAAAAATTGTACGAATTACCAAGCAACAAAATTAAAAAACTCTGAAAATAACAAATAGCTACAGTTGCTATGACGCGCATTTTCGCTTAGCTAGTGCCCAGTCTTCTATACTTTCTTGCTCTAAATAGTCTAAATCTTTGAGCATTAGCTGTAAAATTACCTTGGTTATGGCAAGAGAAAGCAATTCGAACCTCAACTTTACAAAGGAATGCTTTATTGATTTGATTTGATAAGATGCCAATGTTTACTAGGGTTCTCTTCATCATAAGATTTATGACTTGCCATTAAACAGACAACAGTATTGGCAGCATTTCACTGAAACTGTATTATCGTGCTGCATTTATAGAATTGAGTGAAGATCATTGAAAATGAATTGAAAAGCTTTTGTATCAGTCTCTAAGGCCCCCTTTCCCGTTCCAGGTAGCCTCTGTCTATACACCAAATATTCAACTTTTCAATTTTGGCCCCCATTTGTATTTAGTAAAAGATTGTCAATAACAAACTACCCTCAGAAATCCAAAAACATTTGTTCATGATAAATGGTAGTCTAATTCACTTACAATGAGCGGTAGATTCTGATTTGTTAAAAAAGATTTTTGATTTACGTTTCTATTGTATACATCCTACTGATTTATTCTAGTGCACGTTGCTTGTTAACCGGTAGCGTGTTCAATGGAAAATTTAATATTGTATTGCAATATTAATGGATTCGACCTGGACTGAAAAGAGCACTGACAATAACATGAATTGTCATAGTCTTTTTTATGAAAGAAAGCTTTCCAAGCTATTGGAAATGTGATAGTAGAGCCACAAGCAAAAGGAATTATTGTCCTTCTCTTCAATGCGTATTTGATGTTTTCAACAATGAAACATGCCACATAGTGGGTGGATAAGCAGAAGAATTGTTCAAAAGTTTGATACGCTGAACAACATTTGACATTGACCTAAACCACATCTTAGTTCTCTTTTTGACAGAAGTACTCTTGTCAAGATCCCTTTTTTTATCATTGGCCATAAAAGGAGAACGCCAGGTCATTAAAAGTTGAATTTCACAGTCTAAAGGCAGTTTAATATGATGAAAACATGTAATATGGAACCAAATCATATCTTCCCCCTGAGTTTTATTTTAGACTGGAGTACTCTGGTTCATAACGCCAGGTCATGAAAAGTAGAAAATATCATTCGGAGGAACCCCGGTTAAAGCTGTTAAATGTTGCTTTGTAGCAAAAAATGAGGCTTGAATATAGGGTCATATGTCAATGTGTATGAATTGGTAGTGAACTAATACAAACTTGAATTAACTGACTTGAAACTTTAATTATTATTGATATTAGTTGGAGATGGGAAGAAAGATTTATTAAAGATTGCCCTTCTGCTCAGAGAAGCAAACAAAATAAGTGAAAAACTCCAGAAAGACATTGTAAGTTTTAATGAGATTCATTCAGTCAATTGCTTTATTCCATATCCCAAGCATTTATTCATTTGCCTTTGTTAATTCCACACAATAGTATTTCACCTAACGTTTCCTTTGATTAATAGATTTTGAGTTAACCTTTTTTACACATACCATTAAAATGGAGAACGTGATTGAGACTTGGAGGAGTTTTTAAGTTCGGCACTTCACACCTTTACTCTGAAAAATCCACTTTTGCTCTATGTCTTGTAAAAGAAAAGTTTTAATGTTAGTCTATTGTTATTTTACCATGTGCGTTCCTGCTCAACGCTTTTATTTACATGCTTCATCACAAGATTTTGAGACTCCAACGAGAGCTTTTATAACAGCTTATCCTTCTTTTAGCATGTTTGATCAATTTCTTCCACCTTTTTAGCAGTGGTCATGTCTATGTACAAGTCAGTTTCAAATGACTTTATCAACCCCTGTTGATTTGTATCCAATAGAATTGTTGTTCTTTCTTCTTTGTAGACTTTCAGTAGGGACGATATTTTGGAGGGTGACAAGGTAAGAAATGGTCAAATATGAATCTTTGTTGTTTCAGCCCATTTTTTCTGGTGCTTGTTGTACAGGGGCATGTTTTCCCTGGCTACAGAAGAACGTTGGAGCGAACAATTATTTGGCGGTACAAAACTTAAAGTGGCCTTAAAATGGCTCTTTGCCAGACGAGTCGCTTAAGTTTTGTGTGACATTGTTTACTTTTTCAATACCATTTGGAAAATTAGAATGTTGGCTTTTTTAATAAATCAATTGTTTTGATACTTGTTGTTTTTCAAATTTATCAACCTCAAATCAGGCTCCTCTAGTCTCAAACCTGGGTACACGACTTCTTCCTAGAGGATTAAGAAGTACGCGATTATTAATTGGCTTTTAAACTTTTGCAATATTAATAAAAGATGTCAGTGGACAGGATTGTGCGAAATTATCCTTGGTAAAACTTGGTGATACAAAAAATTGCTTTAGCCTTGGTGAAACTTGGGAGCTAATGAAACAACAAAGAGACCTGGGCATTTTGGCACACTTTTTCTTAGATTTTGGCACAAGCTTATCAAAGAATTGGAAGGTGAAAAGGAAGAACTTTCCAAATAGACTATCTATTGGGAATCGAGGTTAACTTTCAGCTGTGTCTTGACTTGATCCAACGTCAGCACAGCAATGTCCTGGGAATCAATTTGTCTTTAATGAAGTATATACGATATTCTGTAGCCAATGATTTGACCTGAAAGTTATGACCTAACTTGCAGATTGGTACTTTGTCGTATTTTTGTACAACTAAACTGGAATTCAAGTACCATATGTTTTCTCCCATCATAATTACCGTTTGTGCATTGTGGTTCCCTTAATTTTCAGGTTGAGATAAGAATACGACTGAATGACACAAAGCATGGTCGAACAACGCTCTGGTCTTTAGACAAATTTGATTTTATGGTTGGCAAGATGAGAGATTTGTATCAGGTATTGAAACTATCACTACAAATACTAACTGCTGAATAATACCAAATAAAGCTGAACAAAATTTGCTTGTCTACCATGAGACGAAGGGGAGCACGTGAAGGAATTTCGTGATTAGAAGCTTTTGGCATGTTCACAAGTGTTCTCGTCCTTATTCAGCTTTTGAACAACCTGCAATTTCTCTTTTTAGGCAAATGGGGTATTAGAAGAAGGTGAAGACGACCCATTTTACGATTCTTTAGATGAGTGGCTGGACGATTTTACTTTAGACTCTCCAACTACACCTCAACCAAAGTGAGTTTAGACATTCAAAAAGCGGTACAAATGCGGAAAGTTATTATAAAAACATTGCAAAAAGGCATACTGGCCACTTTTGAATGATCAACAAGGTGGATTATTTTTAAAATAAAGATTTTTAAATGTTTTCCTAAGCATGTAACCGAGCGAGCACCCAAATTTCTCCTAAAGTTACATTAAGCTTTAAGTCAATGAAACCAAACCAAGACGATCTATAGACAATGACAAAACTACAATGCGTAAACATTCCCTTATTCTTTTTGTTTATCCTTCCGCAAGCAGTTCTTAGCAATAAACACGATGCTATAAATATTTCGGTGCTATTTATGTTGCCCGAGGTTTCAACATCAGAAATGCACACAGCATGCCGGTCTTGCATTTCTAGTAAAACAATGAATGAGAGACAGCTTTAAGCGAAATTTGTGTTCTGCTAATGAAATAATCAGGCAATATTTTGTTGACCGTATGACTAAAATCACATCACTGCTCCAATATTCGAAAAGCACCTGCCATTACTACGCTTTTTGAGTGGGTAATATACTTCGACAAATAGAAGATTTGAGATAATGAGATTAAAACACGTGAACATTTGATCATTCAATTTGAATATATTATTTGCAAGCCGCATACAAACATATACATTTCTGTGCAAAACATATACCAATCCAAAGCAAACATTTAGACTTGTAATGAATCACTGACTATAATACAAATGTACAATAAATTCTTTGAATTCCCTGAAATATTTAAAAGTTTACATATATTTTTTGCTTATTACTGATGTTCAATAACCTGTTCCCACATAACAAAACAAAATTTAGAAAACTAGTGTGTTAAAATCTGTACATTTCAGTTTAAACAGCACAAGATTATCCATTGGAAGGAGAGTGTCCCTGAACCATTCATTGCATCTGCTGACTAACCTCAATGCGTCATTATCTGAGGTAACTTTTCTTCTCCCATTTCCATTCTTTTATGTGATGTTCCAATACTTGCAAAAAAACCTTTACACACAGATTGTTTGTCTTTTCAGGGTTTATTGGTATAAATATTTTCACCCATTTTGAAATTTTATAGTTTTCTAACTTCCTCCTGCATATGTCATACGTAGGGTGCAAAAGAGAAGGGACATGTGGGGCAGCCACCTCTGTTGCAATTTTAAAGGCAGGACAAGGGACATAACCAATTTCATTAAATTTTCTCTTACATCAGAATTTAATATCATCAATGTAATTTACATGGCTTTCTAATTGTACTGCCTTTTTAGTATTTTTTCCTAATGTTTTGATGACAACATTGCTCAAAATGCATAGACCATTTCAACTTGGTTGTTCAGGTGTTCATAGTTGTGAAAAACAGATGATACATGATGCAAGCAAAAGCTTTTGTTGACAATAATCGAAAAATAAATTCTGAATGCTACACTCTTCTGATTTCAGTTATCAAAGAGAAGACAATCTTCTATTAGTGGATCCACATTTCAAGGTTTGCAATATTTGTAGACTCAAAGTTTAAATTTATAACTGTTTTGCCTATTTTTCACATGTTGGGGCAACCTTATGCTGTGCTTCAAAGTCAAAAAGTCTAGTTGCATTTAGCAAGGCAAAACTGTTTTCTACAAAATTTTAACTATTCAATATAAAAATTAAAAGGCTCAAAAGTTTTCCCCGTTGTGAGAAAAAAACTAAATAAAGACAAATTTATTTGCTGACATTGCTACATCTTATTTGCTGTGAATGCTGGCTCAAAAATTATTACACATTTGAAGGGCCTTAAAATAACATCAAAAAGCAACTTTGTCCATATAATTAGTAATAAAACCTTGAAATAATTTCAGATCAGACTCTCATAGGAAGAGAATACTGTCTTTAATAAGATTCTGAATAAATATAAACCATTGAAAAACATTCAATATGAAGAGTGATAATCAAAGATGCTGTATTGAAATATACTTTTGAAAATTACTTCTATAATATATTGTAGATGTGATTGTAATGCATGGTTTCAAATATACACAACTTAAAATTTTAAACATTTCACTTGAGTTTTTCTTTGGTATTTAAACATTTGTATAAGTCACTCAGAAGAAAAAGTTGACTCTTAATTTTTGATTGAAAATTGGGCTTAACCTCATTGATTGTAAACACTCAAAATTTTATTGAGGACATTGATAAAAAACAAATTTTTGCTGATTCCACAGCAAATTCCAAAACTATTTCCTTGAATTTTGTTTCATTCTACATTAATTTTTGGCATCTTGATTTTTGAATAACAATTCTGCAGTTCTTTAGTTCAACTTCAATTGAAGGTCAACTTCTCTTACGTATTTTACAGACCTAAAAACTTGACTTATATGCCAAGAAATATGGTATATACTACCCTTGAATTTAAACAGTAACATACAAAACGTTTTAAGGCTTTATTTCACTGTCCTTAACCTGGAATGTGACGATCACGATATGGTCCTGTAACATTTGACCTTTTAAGCAAATCCTTAAATATGTCAACTCTTGTTCCACAGTTCTCTTCGATACTGTACCAGTTCCCCAAATTATCATAACTCTTTCGCTCTAACCTCTCTTCATTTATCTTACGGCAAATTTCACATGACCAAGATCTTGGTGGACCAAGCACATAATCCTCTCGCCACTTCTGATAACGGTTGTATGCCTCGACATTCTGATCAAGATATTTAAGATGATTGGCTAGTTCTTCTATTGTTTCAAATTCAAGAGCATCAATGTATGAGTTTGGAATAGCCCTTTTTTTATAATCTGCACCACCTAGGACAACTGGAACAGAATGACCATCAATAAGTGTTTGATAGTATGTTGAAGTTATAAAGTCTTCACAAAATGCATCCTCAGTTGCTAGAAAAAACTTGTACCGTTTCATTGTTGTTACACATTCTGGCTTATTAGCAGGGCATTCTTTGCGTTTTTTATGGAATGTTGACGAGCATGATCCATACACATCAACATCAATATATTCTTGCAGCCTTTTGACAAATTTATCCCGTAATAATCCACAAAAATTTATTGTTGCAGACATAAGCTTGTCTTTGCTGGCAGCATAATTCACACTTTTTGATGCTTCTTTTGTTGTGGCTTTTTTCTCCCATGTACCTGACTCCCAGTTATATGGCACAACAATGTCAGAGTTATGTTGATATGTCATTGTCCAGTTAAAATATCTGTTAAAAAACACTGGATTTGGTACAGCATAATAGGGTGTGGCATGTACAAAGTAGATCCAAATTTGATCGACACTCCTAGTCTTAGACAAAAGCTTTAGTTCTTGTTGACTAACCATGTCTGAAGCAAAAGCATGAAATAGTATAACATCAGCCCTAGGTGCTGCATCCCTGTCATGTGTTATTTCACAGTTTTGTACTTTGCATGGATGACCTGTCAATAACAAAGGTATATTCCTCTTCTTCTAAATGAAACTAACAAGATTTCTTAGAAAATACAATATCTAGAAAAACAACTATCAAGAACAAAACATGCATGCATACATCATGAAAGACAAAACATGCATCATCAAGGAATTCTATTTTACCAAATCAGTTTCAAAGGTGATTGGTTTATTTTGTATGTATTCCCAAAAAACACTATTAGGAAGGCATGGTATTGAATGTCATACTGAATTAATGATAGCATGTTGATTAGAAAAAAAAAACAGTTGAGGCATGTGAATTAAGCACTGTTGCTATTAATTGTAAAGATGAGAAAGACTTCTTAGCGGAGGAAGTAGTGAGCTCAAAAAGTTTAAAGCTTGGTTTGTAGACTTAAGACCCTCTATCTATAAATGGTCAGTAAAATTTTAGACAGAATGATTATAATCTATACTAGTCTAATATAAATTTATAACAAGATATTATTACTAAAAGTTATATGCTGGATTCCTCCAATGTTATCTACAATAGCTTGCAGAAGTACAACCCAATGAGATCCTTTAAGAGATGATAGCTTTTTCATAAAAATCATAGATAGGGGTGTTAATTTCTGCTCTGTGGCTGACTGAATATTAGTGGAGATCAAGTCCAATAACTTAATGTTTTATTATCTAACAATTGAAAAATTTAATCAATTGCAATTTACAAGGTAAATCTAATTCCTTATCAAAAGTCTATTCTATAAATAAATGCTTTTTGAAGAATCAAACAGAAATAGCATGGTGAAAACAATAGATTAAATAAATATTTGATACAATATTACTTCTTTTTCTAAAACATAAAATTTCAAAAGAAACTTACCACCCCAGTTATTGAAATTTAAAGTTGTTTCAAAGCCTTTCCATCTTTCTCTCCCCCAAAGTGTTGTGTAGAACAGTATCAGCTTTTTTGATTGGATTTTCGAAAGTTCAGAGGAGACTTTATCTACCATATTTGTTTTTTTATAGACTTTTTCCTGGTTTATTTCTGTTGATGGTTTGCTGGTATCTATTCTTGTTATCGAAACCATCTGCTGTAATTCCTCTATAGTTTTGTCTCTTTGAATTTTTTTTGTATTACTGATAAGGTTCACTGTCAACAAAAGAAATACGAAAAATGCAACAAAAATAGCAGTCTGTTTCCATGGTTTAGGCAACCACTGAAATATTCTCTGCATCTTAGATGATGAAGATGGCGTAGATGTTGTTGACATTATAACAATTCAGTTTTTCTTTTGGCTAAAAGAAAAGAACAACATTGTAGTGGAAAATCAAAATTGTGCTCATATTAAATAATTCTATGTTTTGTCATACAAAACTTATGCACATTATCACATATGTGCCAATGAATGTTAAAATCAATCTTTTAAACCTGAAAGAGTCTTGTCTGATTAAAAAGGAAGTTAAATGCATTGTGCTATTTGGTGGATTCATGCTTGAGTGATAACACTAGAATGTGTCAACAAATTCTGATGAGTTCATTGTCTTTTAACGTTGGGGTCAGTTTTGAAGCATGCTTACACTAATTGGTTAATTGCAATTGGCTTATCCCTTTTCCTAATGTACATATCAGACAAACTGGTTACAATCACTTAAACGTCAAGTGTCCTTCTCTTCCTTTCCCTGTACAAAAAAACATTAGTATCAAGATTATGACAGCATCACTCATCAGAATCTCCTTATAAAATTCACCTTAGTTTATCATTAACATATGACTGATAGACATATTTTGCAGCGGGCACCAAGACATTCAAAGTGGGGGGCTCGAGTTAATAGCATCATTGACTGAAAAACCAATTCTTGAAAAACTCACCAAAATGCTTCACACTATGTTATGCCTATGATTTTGTGTGGTAGTTGCTTTGCCAATATTCGAAAGAAGAAGCTTGCCTGCGAGCGGAAAACTTTTGGGACCATGCCCTTTAGAGTAGCTCAAAATACTTCCCAGAATATTTCATGTAGTCATTTTTCTACAATCGTTTAAAATATTTCAATATTTTTAAGGCATGCTTTTGTTATGTAAAACCATTTAGAATGGGGTTTTACAAACATGAGTTTGTTGTAGGCGGAAATACTCAAAAATATGGCAACAGCCATCAGTTCAAAATTCTTTTTTTAACCGTAATGATTCAACTAACAACTAATTCAACAAACCTGTGTCATTACAGTTATGTTTGATTACTTCCAGTCTTAAAACTGAAATCATTACTTTATGAGGCCCCATAGACCTCTGTATATTACTTCTAGCCTGTCTCCTAAGGATTTATTGTACTGTCCTTTTCTCTCTTACTTTTCTTTTATTCTTATCTCTTATTCTGTTCTAATTTTCTTAAAGGCATTTTTTTGCAAAAGAAGTGGGGGGCTAAAGCCCCAAGCCCCCCTTTGGCACTATCCATGTTTTGCTAAAATGCAAATATGAACTCAGACTATTGTTTTACTGAGTATGCATTTTGTGGAAAATGTTGAAAATGAATTTATAGCCCTTCACTTTCTTAAATTATGATTATTATAACTAATCTGGGCATAAAGCTCCAGTTAACATTAAGATGTTGATAAACAATATATAAACTATGATGTGCTTTAATACTGAAAATTCTTTGCAGATGGAGCTTTGCCTTCTGCCTGTTTTGAGAATATAAAAAACCTTATCGATGTGGAAAAGGCAACTCAAGGTAATGTCTTACTACTTCAGTTTAGTAGCTTCTGATAACTTTTATCTGCATTGCAGCTATACATTATGTTAACAAACCAGTTCCAAACAATTCAGTCAGATTTTATGGCTTTGCATCAGCATATTGAAGCACTATTTGAGTTCTTCATGGAGCTAAAAAACTTTCACTAAATATAGAACTTCTAGTATGCCTCCTCTGGGAAAGTGGGGACTGGCTTGGTTATTGAAATGACTTAATGTATTTCTGAGTTTGTCTTTTCTAAGTACAAAGAATGGTTGAGCATTAGTGCTTAATGGTTTATTTCAGTGCTTGAGTCAATGAAGATAGATTTAAACATGCTTTGGCCACAGAATTAAACATTAATATCCAAACAGTCTAAAGAAATGTCAGTAAAGAAGGGGTCATTCCATTGAGGTTTCACCAGTGAAGGGGTCATTCCGTTGCACAACAATAAACTCGATGGCTACCTTCGTACTTAACAGACAATTTATCTGATTTTTAAAGGCTTCCGAATCTTAAATGTTAGCAATAACAAAAAATTTCAAAATTGAAGAGTTCCTTAAAGATTTTGACTACAGTACTAACGGTTCTTTAACTTTTTCTGTCTTCTACATAAAGATTCGTCAAAAATGCTGTACTATCTAGAAAGCTTGTCATTCTCAGCGGGCATACTCCAAGGTGGAAGGTGGGTCTCTAGGTTCGTTTGCAGTGCAATACAGGATGTTATCATGTAATGAAGTTAACCTTGCTAAGTGACGAAATATAATCAGGGGTTCCAAAAAGCAAATATTATAAGAAATACTTGAGATTTTTTCGCGTTTTACAACGCACATTTTAAATTCTGCATTGCCAACAAATTTTTTTAAAAATATAATCAATCACAATGGAACAAGATATTAGCTTTTAAATCCACATTCCCCCGTTATCTTCGGTCGACAGTTTAACTGTGGTACTGACAGATAATCCAGCTCAGCTCAACAAAAAATCAGAGACATAATGGCTTTGAGATGTTTGCGAAGAATTAGACTCCACTCACGCGAGCGCAAAATTCCTGTCCTAAAACACTGTTTCGGTTAACAGGAAACGACATTTCTTTTACCTTCCTCTTTTTGGTAGCGCCTGGGGACTCTGGACTGCCTGGGCACTGCCCCAATGCTGTAGTTCTCTCTGTCCTCGTGCGTTGCTCCCTTTCCAGCGGAACCAACTTGAAATGTACCTAACAGGCAAACTGGAACCGGATTTCTTACCTGCACTGAGCAAAAACAGGGGGGTTTGACACGCGTTTTGTCATGGAGATCGGATAACACTCAATGGTTGTTGTTCACTTAATACCCGGGGGTTATCATGCATTTTCAGATCCGGGGGTCCATCTAGCAAATTAAATCCTCAACTAACTGCTGCTAATATCAATTAAATATTTGACTGAAAATCACAACTGGACTTCATTATGCAGTCAATTCTTTGCTTTTATACGAAAAAGTTCCAATATTCCTATAATATTCTCAAAAATTGGATGATTCTCAGCCGGATTATTCACATTAATAACATTAACATTTACATTATATACAACAATTTATGTAGGTGAATTTTTTTGGTATTTGTGAACAAGGCTGAGCTCCCCCCCCCCCCTGGCAAACTGGCAAACTTTATTATATTTTCTTCATATCAATGGACTGATAGAAACGTAGTACAATGTGCCTATTGTTCGGCTCATGCCTCTTTTGTACAATAAGATCCTATCGTAGTATTCCTACAATGCAGTGATTGACGCCAGCATTCTACAAAAAAATTTGTTGTTGTTTTCTGCTTGATGAATTCGGTTGTTGGTGAACCATGACGATTTCTGAGATTTTGTTGCTATTAAATAATGCCAAACCGAAATTGTCCCAACATTTTCATATTGCAATTTAAACACTTCCCAAATTTCATTAAAGTGCCCTTGGACGAAAAACACACTTTAACACATTAGATAGCAACGCAATCTCGCTATTCGTCCTACCAACCCCATCACTTATCTCTCAGTTTTCAGGGTTGTTTTTTGACATTTTATGCATAGTTATTGAAAAGGAATTTATAACAGCACATAGCTTCGAAAAGATCATTAAATAATCTGGTGGTGGGTTTTACGCATGAGTTTACAAAAGCTGCATTGCGTACCTGAAATGCAAAGGAATGCAGGCGTACGGGTGAGCGGAGCGTCGTAGTGTAACTGCTACCCCCCAAATATCACTCCGGAGTAAAAGTTAATCGGCTCTGCTCCGCTCCGATAGCAATCCGGTATAGTGACTCCACCCTTAGCCAAGATGGCATTAAGATCATAATCGGCGAGGCCATCGTTGAAGAAAGCTCTGAAGAAAAACTGCTAGGGGTGATAATAGATAAAAATCTTAATTTCAAAAGTCACGTTTCAAATTTATGCAAAAGAGCCAGCCAAAAATTGCATGCTCTTGCTAGAGTATCGCCATTTATGGGTTCTGATAAACTGCGTCTCCTAATGAACAGCTTCATAAAAACTCAGTTTAGCTACTGCCCCCTAATTTGGATGTTCGATGGCAGATGTCTGAATGCTAAAATGAATAAAATCCACGAAAGAGCACTCAGAATTGTTGATAAAGACAGTCATGCTGACTATGAAGCATTGCTGACTTTGGATAATGCAGTATCAATTCACCAACGCAATCTACAGTACTTGATGATAGAAATATGCAAAACCTTTATTTAGAACATTATACCATAAACATTTTTAATATTGTAACGTTGCATTAACATTTTTAATATTGTATCATATATTTATTTAATACTAATTCTTTATAGATAGTTGGCCTTAATTAGCTTCTTTATAGCTATTAGACGTCCATTTAGTACGCCAACTTTAAACAAATTATTTATTATTATTATATATTGGAAAAACAAATGAATGGAAAACCATGCTAAATAGGCGTCCCCCGCAGGAGGTCCTTTGCTTTCAATGATATTGGGCGTCTATTGTTTACAACTGACCATTGTTAATTAAAAGATTAATGATAAGCCCAGAAAACAAAGGTTGTGCAATTTGGGCGATGGTTGAGATTTGATTTTCCATGAATAAGCAGTTTTGACAGTGCTTCCACTTGGAAGGATTTTTCCTATTTGTGGGAATTTTGGTCGATTTGAAGGAGAAAAGAAGGATTTACAAATTAGAAGGAATTTGGAAGGATTTTCTAAGAAATTGTCACTGCTTGCTTGTAAAGCCCAATCTCCAGTGAGAAAAAAATCAGCGAAATGCAAAAAAGTTTCACTAAACATTTCACGCAACTTTTGTTTAGTCAAAAGTTTAGTGAAATGTTTAGTCGTTTTGCCACCCTGTTTAGTGTTGTTTAGTCGTGTTGAGTGTTGTTGAGCAAAGTTTGATCCTGGTCAAAAATGTTTAGCGTTGTTTAGGAAATGTTTAGTTGTTTTGCCACCAATTTTGAGCACTTTTTGTCAAAGTCATGAAAAATTCAAAATTTTCTTTTTCATTCTTAAGGGCTGTTTATTTTTCATGTTCAATCAGCCTATAATATAAAGGTCCATATAAGGTACCTGGAAATAGATATTCCCTGAAATTTGTCCAGTTGATCGTATTGAAAAGGACGTTCGCTAGAGGAAATTATTACATAGCAATTGCACAGGAGTGGCGGCATGGGGGGGCAAGAGGGGGCTTTAGCCCCCCCCCTCCCTAGATTTTTGTTAGCCCCCACGTCGGCAGCCAATCAATTTTTGCTTTCTCAATACCGTCGGCACTTGATGGATGTCACCCGGTTTACATGTTGTTTGAATGACATAAATAATCGAAGAGAAAACTGCACTGGCTGGTTTATGGTTTTCTCAATGGCTTTTCTTCGGCAATTTTATTATCATTATATCCATTAAGTTGCATTATATCCTGTCGCTTCCGTGAAAGCTGTGACTTAATTTCATGGTGCTCCTTCGCATGACCCACAATACCATCGTCCTCCTCTCGGTTGAAATCCCTGTTGCTGCTTGGAATTCATGCGAAACGTGCAGAGATGCTTGATTTAGATCATGTTTTGGACCGTTTCAAGGAAATTTACCCTAACAACAGCAAAATCACGCTGTAATAAAAGAAGTCTTTAATGAATTTTCTTCTTAAGGGTTTCTCTTTTCGTTTCAAGACATCATTATTGCCAATGAAAACATTTCGATCATGAGCACATTTTGCGTAATAAATTTTTCAAAAAGCACTTCTTGTCCTTTTTCATCAACTATTTTTCAATAGCATTGTTCACTGCATAGCTTGCGACAAACAAATGGTTTAGAGAACACCATCGATTAACTTCTTCCACCATAGATAGGAAGAAGTATTCAACAATAGGCAATATTTGCGCATTAAGTTTCTTACAAGGCACAAATTGCCGAGAAAATCTCGTGGACTCCGACACAGGTTGGAAAGTGGGGGCGGGGAGGGGGCAAGGGAGAATTTTGCACCCACAGCAAAAGATTTTGGAAAAATGCTCTATTGCTTTATAAAAAAGTGGGGGCCATGACCCTTCGGTGCCCCTTCATTGGAGGTGCTGCTCAGGGGCGTCGCGACTGGGGGGTTGTCACACCCACCCCAATAGTATCTCAATAGGAAATTTCAGGTAAAATTCGCTCGGTGGAAGAAACGCTTTAGGTATTTCAGAGACCTTAATGTCATAAAATCTATAAAGGATCAAGCAATCTTAGGTAAAATTGTGCCTCGTGTCCATTTCTTCTAAATTTTCTCAGTAGAAGCGTCAACTGCAATTCAATATGAGCTCCATATTTTTCTTAACATTCAAAAGGTTGCTAAGATGGAGAGAGGGATCTAAATTTAAAAGTAACTGACAACCTGGTATTTTCAAGACCACGGCGAAATTGTTGTTTTTATCTGCTGTAAAAAAGTTTTGCAAAAAGACAATAATTTTCAATAGGATTAGGAGGATTGCTTTAGTGAAATCTGCTTAAAAGAGTGCATTTTCCAGGGAACTAGAAGCATCACAATTCGAAAATTTCCTGCCCCTTCGGCGGCAACCATGGTGCCGCCTCAGGTAGTAACTATATATTTTGCCCGTCCCGATATAGAGATTTGACAAGACTATTAGGAAAGTCGGTTATTATCATACAGAGTTAGATTGACAAAATGTATTGCAGAGGTTTGTGACACCAGCTAAAAAGTTTTAGGCAATAATTTTTTAATCAGGTAAATTTGTATTTCACACATCCCCCCCCCCCCCAACGAGGCTTGCCTCGGGACGGCCCTGCCTGCTATATGGGGAAAATCGAATTTTTTTTCTGTCAGCAATTTGACACATCCAGCGTCGGCAGTTACGGAGAATATAAACTTCGGCACCTTGAAGGTTTGTCTCTAGCGCCACCCCTGCAATTGCATAGAATCTTTCTTATCCTGAGAAGGGCGAACAGACATTGATTAAGAATTCAAGATGAAACCAAGCATTATAATTTCCTTAGATGGCAGAAACACAAATTTCGCTGGATGAATAACGAAACCATGTCTTGTGAATACCTCAATGGTATCAGTAAGTGCTCTTGTGCATTCATCAAAGGTGTTACCTTGGATATAGATATCATCTAATTAAGCAGCAATAACGTGACCTTGTTTATGCAAATAGGTTAGTGCAGGTTTGAGAAGTTTGGTAAATATACGTGGGCAACTTGACAAGCCATTCTGCTAAATACTGCGAAATACTGCGAAATACTGCGAAATATGGTCAAATAACAACAAAGTACGGCAAAATTCTCAAACCATATCATAAATATTCACTTCCGTGGACCCAGTGCGAAAGACAGACCAGCCGAAGTCTGCACTACGAACTAACAACATTTCGCTGATTATCACTTTTGCCCGGCCTAAAATCGAAAAGGGGAAACAAAATAAAAAATACCAGTGTGTTCACGTTTTGGGGGTTTCCGTACGTTAGAAAACCATAAATGCATCACTATAAACTGTTAAAGAGGACGTTTTCCGCAGTCAGGGAAGAATTATTTCAAAATTCGCTGATTATCACTTTTTCCCGGCCTTTGCTTTTTAAGTCATTTGCCCCTCAGCTGTTTTCATAACACATACCATAAATTGCTTGTGGTGCCATGATCCACTGCACACTTAAATTCATTCGCACTGCTGCCCCCCCCCCCCCCCCCCCCAATTCACATGGCAGATGTTGGGCAGTTGGCTGAGCATTCTTGTGAGGATACACGAAAGGTCCTGCGTCCTTAGTTTCCAACATTTACCATAATTATTAAATCCAGCTATAATGACTGAAACATTTCCAGAATTCTACGATGTATAGACAAACAGTTACATTTTGGACTGTGATGATTCGTGAATGAGATTAATGGAATACAACGTTGCCTTACGATAGTGCGTTCGTTTTCGATGATCTCAGGCGACAACTTACTTTATCAACTCTCAAGATTCTACCCTATACAGAAAAGTAAGAAGGCCCTTACGCAGGCGCTTCATACACAGGGTGACCAACTAAACAAATTCAACAACAGATTCACGTCCCTCGTGTCATTTAAATCTTTGCTGTCCGATTGGAAGCAATACCGAACAGTTTCTCCGCATTACTTTGTTTTTCGAGCTTATCCTTGATAGGTTTATTAGCTTTTTCGATGTTGTTTAACCAAATATAAGCAAGTGATATTTTGTTATATTTTTTTCGTAGTTACTTAGATTATTATGATATCAAGGCTTACTTATCTTCATTGGAATTTTATAATTTTAGTACAGCTGCCGGCAAACAGAATAACACCAGCTGGTAATAAGGACGGATGACGTATTAAAAAGCTATGTTCTCAGAAGAGATCCCTGTAGCATCTGTAATCCGGTTTCATGATGGGTCACGGATAGCTAACGTATAAGAGTTTCTTGTATACAAAAACGCATAAATTTGGTAGTGCTTGATCTAGTTGTGAATTTTAATAATTTTGAAAGTTGTTGCAATATCTATAAAGATTGTTGTTGGTATAAAGTTTTTAATTTTCTATCATCGTTTCTTTTAATGTTTAAAGATCATGTACATTAACATTTTCAGGGGTAAATGACTTCGTCGAGATATTGCGATGTTGATAATTGATATTCAGTTTTCTGAGATTCGCAAATATGAACGCAATGTTACAGGCGGATGAAACAGTTTCGCTTTGTAAAGTTATTATGATTGACACCTAGTGACTGTTTTTGTTTTCGTGAATAACCATAATTTCAGTCACATCACAAACAAAAGTACTGTAGAAATATGTAAAAGATTGGCTTGAATGCGTGAGCCCAAACTTAAGCTCCATATTTTATTGGAAAAACTTGTCTTTCATGCCTGATTGCTATCTTTTACAGGATGCTCAACTACAAAGCATATGTTGTCGCTGTTATTCGAAATTCGTGCAGCTATCGCAACATTACAGAGATCTAAAGTAGCCAACAACCGGGTCGCAAAGGAGACCTTTAATGTTGCTATGCTATTGGCTAAGCTGAAGGAATGTGGAGAGTCATGGGCTCGCATGCATAAAGTAATCAACTACACCTCGATAGAGATGTATGTGAGCAGCTTGGACAGCCGTATTTGCAAGCTTATTGCTGAGTGCAGTTCTGTTTTTCAAGTGAGTATTCTAAACCATTAAGATTGTAACGTTTGCTTGCAAATGTTGTTGGACTTTTTCATCAATATCAACCTGTGCCTAGCATTCAGGTACTACTGTCATTGAGAATAGTTTTTGTCAGACAGCTCTCTAGTGTCAGCTGATCTTTACTGGGTGATAGCTATTTAATTATCTATTTCTAAGCAAGATTTTATGGTGGCAACGACAATTACAACCATGTAAGACCTGATTCACTCAGTGCTAGAAAAAAACAGCGCACAGGTGCTTTCTACTTATAGGCACTTCATCGGAGTAAATGGTTCTTCACCATGAATTCGTTCGACTCTCATAATTGGAGATTAGAGTTACTGCACCTCGTATAAGCCCCCTCAACTCCAATAAGTTCTCACCCTTACTTGCCTTTTTATGTTTTAATAGCCCCCAACACAATTTTGGTCCATGATTTGATTAATAAAAGATTCAGCGGGAAACACAAAAACTAGAATAAATGAGAGATTGACGAAAAGACCACCGAAGACAATGGGTATATCATTTTTTGCCCTACAATGTTTTTTCGTGTTTTGATTTAATCTTTGGTTTGATATTTAGGAAGAGTTATTGAGTAAAATTGAAAAAGCTACAAAAAAGCTATTTGTATGGCAACTTGATGATAATTTTTTAAGCCCTAACCCCCCTCCCACCGTGCAAGCTCCCCTTGAATTAGCCCATATCTAATAGCTATCGACATAAGTAAGCCCCAGGGGTATGTCAACCTTCTCGGTTATTATCCTGTCGAAGCGTTTCCAACCACTCGCCCTAAATATTATTCTCACCCCCCCCCCCATGTTTTTTGGGCCGGATTCCTTTTGTGTTTTAGGTAGGCCATATATAGATTATTCCCACCTGTCACGTGACTAACTTATTGCCGCCATGATGGATCACAACCTAGTTTTTTATACACATAGCAACGCGTTATTCATGTCTTACATGTTTTGAAACGAACAGTTACCTTCGCCGATTTCGAAACATATATCTAAAATCGTTCAGATATGTGCTTAGCCAACTTGTTTGCTGTACCTTCTTAAAAATGGGAACAATTTTTAACTTTTATGTACCGTCCTCTAGCAACTTTTCAGAACAGGCGCTGCCTTGAAACCTAGGAGGAGTAGAGTAGCTAGGTCACAGTTGGATCAATCACATTGGTTAGTTCTGTGGAATATCTGGATGTACCAACAGATTTGGAAGAGAAATCACGCATCTTGATGAAGATTCAAAAGTGGAATCGTAAAAACTAGTCAGGGATGTTAGTGAAAAAACTATGCAAATTGTTATAGAAGCATGAAACTTGGTAGAGATACATAGTTTTATACACCGCAAAAACATTCATAAATTAATCAAATTTGAAGCAAAATGAATTTACAGAAAGAGGGAAGGTTCACCATCTTTCTCTACTAGGAATCAGAAGACACCTGTTATTTTTTTTGTTTTTTGCATTTGTTACTGCTAAGCATCTGAAGGTAGCACACTAAGTAGCTGTGCTTATCGAGCAAAATCCTGGTCCTTCCCCTCGATGTGACCACGCCCTATTATGATCCCTGTTGATACTTTTTCTGACTCTACACTGCTCCTATTAAAACTTGCTAACTCTTGCGGTAAAATAGTATCACTATGGCATGATAATTTGGAGATTGGATTGGTTAGCTTGCTCTAAACTCCGAGTCGTACATTCTAGTGCAACGGGTTTCAATGCATGACTCGGATTACGACTCGCCCCCTCCACTGCAAATGTCATATTATATCAAACTCAAATGTTGTGTTATCCGTGCGCGATAAAACCATAAAGTATACTATTTTCATAAAAGGAATTATTTACCTATGCAAATCTATACCATATTAATAAGAACGTACAACAAAACGGATATTAGATTGCTTTATGCATAACGCTACGGTACACTGATACGTATACTTTTGCTGGCATCACCCCTAGGATAGGAGCAGAAATGAGGGGGACACCCAGGTACATATTGATTACAAGAACGGAAATGCACTACCTGGGAAATTGGCTGATAGGCTAGCAAGGATTCAAGTTTCAAAACACAACATAAATACATGTGTGTATGTATACGCATCGAAGATCCTCTACGGCATGAGATTGGGTGTAAACGCCCGGTGGAATTAGACTGATGCCTTATTTTGGGCAAATTGTGCTTTTCTTTTTTGTAGTGAATTCACAGTACCGTTGTTCTCATAGCCATTGTAGAGGATTTGGATCTTTGCCCAAGCCAAAAAATAGCATAAAGAGGCATTTTTGATAGGTTTTGTATCCTGTCTTTATAAGCTTGTCAAACTGTGTATCTCTACCAAGTTTCACACTTCTATCACAATTTGAAAGATTCACTAATATTTTGGTTCTTACAGCCCTGCCAAAATGAAAGGAAGGAACGTATGGCGTACGTGCATAAGTAGAGCCGATCTAACTATGCAAAAGCAGACAAACGCGTTTGTTCGAGTCATCTTTAGTCTTGCAAACCTCCTGCACTTTTTCACAAAGAAAATATAGGCGTTCTTATTAACAAATAAGTAGTTGACAATATCAGTGAATGTAACTGAAGGATAGTCCTCTATGTTTGCATTCAGGATAGTCCTCTGTGTTTGCATTCAAGATAATCCTCTATGTTGGCATTCAGGATAGTCCTCTGTGTTTGCATTCCAGTTTTTCTTAGGAATTGCGAATGGGTCTATGCCACCAACTAAAACATATTTCTCCTTATATCTGAGTCTATCTCTGATGTTCCAGGGAAGTCACATAATCTCTCAAGCTTAACATTCTCACTGAGGCCAAAACACAGGCCGCAACTAGCGATACTGTTTGCGTGCAGTTAGAAGACAGTACTCATAAAGTTTTTAAGAAACAGTTCCCAATTTAAGAAGGGACAGCAAGCAAGTTGGCTAGATCATCATCACCATTATCATTACATTTACATTTAACAACCCTTTGGGTCATACAAATGTCTGCCCAGTCAACTACCACATTAAAATTTTAAAATTTACTGAGGTGATTTCGACATAGGTTGTAAAAGGTATCCGAATTTGCCTGCATCACAATACTGCCTGGCAGGCTATTCCATACAGAAACATATGTAAATTATTGCCCGCAACTCGCGCGCGATAGCGCGCGAGTGAAGGGCTTATAGTCTGCCCCGCGTATAAGTAGCATATGGAAGCTTCAGTTCATAATGTCAGCACTTTTTCAGCAGATTTTGTCACTTTTCTGCTGCCATGACAACTGTCAATCAATTTTATTGTCAATCAATCGGCTTTGTCGAGGAGGTCGTTAACCGCCACCTCTTTGTGCGGAAGGGAATTATCTTCGGAGCGTTGCTCTGCCAAGACTCTGTTAAAGGCCTTCGGTTTTTTTTACACGAAAACGGTGCTGCATCACAGCTCGGTTCTCCGCAATGGATGGAAGTTTTGATTCGAAGTTTTGGGAATCAAAACCAGTCGAATGCCACACCTTTCTCCCAAAAACTCGACACCGTACGAGCAAAAGTTATGATTGTCGTGATTATCGCCTGTACATCGCTGTACGAATCCTTTATCGCAATCTATTTTAGCTGTACCCGTTCTATCACGTGTCCATTTTCATACGTCTTTGCTTCACGAAAACGAAAAATAAATGTCAAACCCTAGAAAAACTTCATGATTTTCAAAAGGGCGTTGGACTTAAATCAAAGGCAAACTGAACACCAAAAATTCTTGATAAAAAGAATAGTTTAGCATCAACTAGAGCAGCTGTTTTTATAAAATTGTGAAAACCCAAGATGGTGTCTTCTTCGAATATCCTGTCCTAAATTTTCAAAACAATCATTATCAAGGAACTAATTGTTTGCGGGCAGTACTAGCAAGAGCTATTTCTAGTTCTAGATATATACTGTTTCGAAATCGGCAAAGATAACTGTTCGTTTCAAAATCCGTAAGACATGAATAACGCGTTGCTATGTGTATCCAAGACTAGGTTGTGATCTATCATGGCGGCAATAAGGCCCAGTTCATGCGCCGCATTTCTGCCGCAGCGAAATATATTGACAAGTCTGAAAAAGTTTAAGTGTCAATTAAATACAGCAAAAATACGGCGTCTGAAACCGAATAAGAATTTATCAATTTAATGCAGAGCTGCCGCATTTAAATAATAATTTCACCAAAAATGCAGCTTGGTTTCAGACGCCGTTTTTCTGCCGCAGCGAATTAAATCAGGCCCTGAAAGAACAAGTTTCCTGTACTTTGGAACACAGCCAGAAGAAAAAAGGACGGAAATCAGTATCGTCTGAAAAAAACGTAAACGAGATCTTCGATGTTATTGGCGAAAATGATTACTACAGGAAAAAGTTGATATTTATTAGCAATAAAGCAACGAATAACTCGGAGATATACGAGAAGATATTAAAGGACGTTGCTAGCCGCAATAGCACATTTCCTTTCATTGACGCAATAGCCATTTTGTCATGAAGAAATTAGAAAAGAGAATCACATCGGTGGCGCTGCGCAGGATTTTGCACCACATTAAATTCGACAGGGGTTAATTGAATTCGGCGTCTGAAGCAAAACACAAACTTCAGGAAAATACTGTCGCATCTAATTGCACTTTAATTCGCTGCGGCAGAAATGCGGCGAATGAACTGGGCCTAGTCACATGACAGGCGGGAATAATCTGAACGTGGTCTTGGTGAATCTGTGGGCCTAATGTTACGTAAACTTGACGAGCCATAAAGTTTTGGTTGACCAATTCAATTTTCGCTTCGTTTTACTGCTAATCAAAATCTTTGCGGGCAATGTTTTAGCTTGTGTACAGACTTTTCTCTTGACTGCAACATATTCATAAGAATGAGGCTTGTCAGGTTTTGTTATAAGGATTTGTTTACGAGAACATAAGCTTTTACAAACAGGGGTGTTAATTGCTTTAGAATGAATGACAATTCACAATTAAACCACAGACTTTGATTACACATTTTTTATAAGAACCTGGAGCCTGGATTGTTTTTAATTTGTTCTTAAAATATTGAGTTTGAAGGAGTGCGATCGCTAGCTGTTGTGCCAATTCACGAAAAATTTAATTGATTTTGTACATTTAGGGGTATTTCGTAATGCTCTTTCGGGTTATGCGATCTAAAAAAATAATGTAAAAAAAAAGGATTTTTGTGATGTCGTCACCTAAAAACTCCCAGTAAAGATTAGCTATTGGTAGCATTCTGACAAACAGCCATTCCAAATGACAGTTCAAAATTCAAAACTTGTGACATTGCGAATCCTGTTTCTTGAATATATAAAATATAATATACTCTTTACTACAGCTTCATTATCCTCGTTAAATTTTTATCTTTTTTCTTCAGACTACAAAGATTCCCTACCAATTTCCTGAAAGAATCTTACATGCTCTAGCAGACGTAGTGAAAAGCGTTGGTGAATTATCTCTGTTATCTGCCGATTGCTTTGAAGATTCATTAACAACAATTCTCCCTCCATGCGAGGTAAGGAGGTTATCTTGGGCAACACCCTTGTGAAAAGAATTTCCCTCTTTTCGACGAGTTCTAGGGTGCACTAGAGGCTCTTCAACGAACTTGCAATCCGTAAAATATGCGAAATTGCAGTCCAGAAAATATGTCGGGTTCACTTTTTTAAAGTCGAAAATTTTTTGAAGTTTGTCAAAATATATTTGAAATGGAATAAGCTTCAAGTAACTCGTCTAAACTCGTCAATTGATGAAAAGAACTAATTAAATATAGTGATAGTAGCTCAGGCCAAACTATTCAGACTTTAATTCCCCTCCTTCCCAAACATAAAGTGTACATGTAAAAAGAGCGAAGTCAGTCTAGGCCAGGTGCGCTCACACATTCACATTCGCATCAGTTACCACCTACAGCCGGTAAAAATCCTTTACTTGAATTTTTCAAATGCGCAGTAATCTACTAGGCTAAGTAATGCTTGAATTGAATAGATTTCTGATATTACCTTCCCATAATGAACACTTTGCTTCAACTATCTATGTCTTGCGTCCAGGGTCTTTCCTCCTTTGCATCACTCGCCTAATGCAGTCACCACAAACAATCTTCCCGCCGTTCACACCTTGCATTATCTTCGTTTTTACCATAATTGTATAACAACACATTTGCGACATCCCTCTGCTGCAAGTATCACCTTCTTTTTTTGTTTTTACAATAAAAGAATTTACAATGCGAGCCCAATAAATGGATCAGAAATCATTTTCATCGAACTCCGATTTGCGCTCTTCAAGCCTCGAGGCATCGTAGCATCGAGGTCGCTGTGCATCCTCTCAGCCCTTCCCAAATTCACTTTTGCAATGTCCTCAATCTTTTCAGTAAAAAACTGATGGGAATGGGCGTGTGGGGTTGATATACTCCTTTTTTGATTTATTGCTGTCATGAACGAGTTGGAATAGCCAATAGGAATACATCTCTAGTCAGAACGCAATGAGCTGTGCATGCACAGTGAGCCTCGATGCGGAGAGGAGGCGATGAAGAACAAAGTTGCTATTTACTATGATCAGAAGAGTGGGGGGGAAAGACGAGAAGCTTGGTCTTGATCTTAAACTGAAAACTCGCTTTCAAACTGAAGTCATCTGACTGGATCAGTGATCGCATGGCGCTAGAAATTCTCCGATGAAGGTGCTCGACCTTCCGAAAGGGGGGCTAGGCAATCAGAGAGAAAGCATGGAATTCCAGTTACAAAACGACGCACAAACATTAAGATTATGACAGGATATGAATTTAACAAACAGGACAAGAAAGAGCAGCTACTTAGAGGGGGATTAACAATTTTTATGAGGAACTCCCTTTTTTAACAAAATGTCCCTGAAAAGACAAAAGCAACTGTTAAGAAAATTTTTTGTAGATCTTCTTCCGTGATTTTTCTGTATTCTCAACGTTCTCAACTTTTCTGAGTAATGTAAAAGAAGTCATTTAATCACCAAACAGAATAGGGACCATTTTTACTTAGGTAGGTAAAGTCTTTGCCAGCTTGAGATTAATTCTCGTGCCCCAATAAACAAGTACACGAAAGTTACTACCTGTGGCGGCACCATGGTTGCCGCAGAAGGTAAAGAATTTTCGAATTTTTATGATTCAAGTTCGCTGGAAAATGCACTCACTGGGTCAATTATTCTACCTTTACAATGCAACCTTACTCTTAGAATTAATATCCGCAGGCGGAACGCTATTGGACGGTTTAAATCGATTTTTTTGTAATCATTCTCGTCATTCGCACACCAAATCCTGAAACATTGTAATGTGGAGCTTTTTCTCACTGGTTACAGTTTGCCATTTAACAGTTACAATATTAATGTGCACTTATGCAGAGAAGTGAAGAGGATCAAATCGAATTAAAAAAACAATCAAATATACCATCGAATATAATTTATTTTTTAATTTATGCTACCACCAAGTTTGCCTAGTAAGGATCTTGTTTAGCCCCCTCCAGAGCATTTTTTAAGAAATTTTTACTACTGAGAAAAATTTGCCAAAAAGGCCCAAAGAGAAATAACCAAAAGAGCACACAGGTCTACGCTGCGATGAGGCGTTTATTTGAAATCATAGAAAACAGACAAGCACAGCTAGGGAAAAAATTAAGAAAAAACCAACGTCGGCCAGTTTGCACTGGGCGCTGTCACACAATCTTAAACCGTTAAAGGATCCAGCTACCCTGGGAACATAAATTCGAGCAATTGGACCTACAATCAGCACAGAAATAGAAGACAGGGGCGAGAGCCGGAGGAGCCTCTATTTGAGAAGAAGGGTTAGGCCAGAGCCACTTTTCACTCTTCTCAGGAAGACGCTCTTCCACTTCCCACTCCTGTCTTCTATTTCTGTGCTCAAATTTATGTGGCTTTGGTACCCAGGGAAGAATCCAGAGTAGTGTGGCTAAGAAAAAGGAGCACATGTCCAACTGTTTTATAGTCGTATATATAATAAAAATATATGTAAACAATATTTTGGTGATACAAAACTTGAAAATGGCTTTGAAAAAGTCATGCTTAAGCTCTTCATCTGACACTCTTCAGAGTATAAAATGTCAAAAATGGATGGAAACCGCTACTCTAGGAAATATATATACCCAGTTGTGGATTGAAATATAAGTTCGTTTTCACCTTAGGACTCCATTGGTAACATTCTCTATAAGCAAGCGTCACTGATTGGGCAACCTTAACAGTCATGTGCTCGCGTTTCTGATTGGCCAATTTTTATCCACAACTGGGTATATATATTTCCTTTGTGATAGCGTAATACAATAGGCGATATAATATAAATCTAATTCATGAATTGCAAAGAAATACATGAAAGTACAAAGTCAAGAAATACAGAAAATGTCATTTAAAAGTTGATTTTAAAATAATAATAGAGGTCAGTGGAAATCGCCAGGACCCAAACTACTGGGAAAATTCTGTGATTTTGACTCTCACTGCTGGGGAAGGCATTGGGCCTACTTGGGAATTATCCCCAGTAGTTACACTGTTAAAAAAAATGCTCTGGCCCCCTGCAAGCTTACGAACTTACTTACGAAGTAGTATGACAGGTGTCAGACTAAATACTTGTTGAATTAAGATACAGTCATAGACAATTTTAGACTTTTTTATGAATCGTTTAGATTTTTGCTTAGTTCAGGCTTTGTTATTTGCTTGTTTGTTACGTTTTTTTAGTGTGAGCGCATTCGAAGCCAATCTAAAAGGCGTGACCCGTGAAAATCTTGCTTTGCTCCTGTCGTGTCGTCACCCTGACATGTTTATAGAATACCTATATATGAAGAACAACTGAGCATGCAGAATGCCCACAGAATGCCCGCAGAATGTTTTTTTGGAAGAAAATATCTAACAATGCCTCTACCTAATAGAGTGGTTAAGTGATAGGGGCGTCATAAAAATCTATTTTTAGAATTTTTGAAATTTTTTCCCATAGCCTGAAAGAGCATCATGAAATATTTCTAAATCTGCAGAAACAGTTAAAGGTATTACGAGTTAGCTGAGATATGTGCAGATGAGCACAAGCTCTGGCCCCATCGTAACTTTATGAACTGAGCCAAAATAACAGTACATTATTTTCTTAATAAGAACCAGTAAATTTGAGTTCAGGCTTACTGTTGTTAATTTTTTCGAAAATCTGAGGCTGGATTGTTCTTAATTTGGGTGTAGGCAGTGCGAGTGCTAGCTTTTTCGCTCTAGGGTGGTGTACAGGCCTCATTTGCCATCAAAGTGAGTATTCACCGAAAAAGCACCCACACATCTCTAAAAATCCTCGATTTTGAGAAAAATCGTTGTTCAAAATTGCATTTTGCAGAAGCTCAGCATCAGCTTGTTCTTAATTTGTTCTTAACTCTTGACCAATTTTGAGTGTTATCCGTTAGCAAACTCCAGATCTTCTATTGGCCATAACTCACCCTTTTTTGACAAATTTAACTGATTTTGCATAAATGAATATATTTTGGTGTTCTTCTATGTTATGTGGTCAAAATTCGAAAATTCTTAAAATAGTTGTTTATAGCGTCACACTTGAGAACTTCATTCAAGCGTTCCACCTTTGATCGAGAAGCTTCGAAACCGCTGTTTTCCCGACGCAAATCTTGGATTCGACGTTTTATTTTGGCTAACAGGCTGCTTGCTTTTTATTGCCATGGAAACAAATAACTACACCCCTTTCTCCATTTAAGGACAAGCGCTATTGTCGTGTATTTGCTGAAGGACAGCGTTCAATTTGGCTAAATATGATAAATGAATGGTCAAATGCTTTGGATAACTCTCTGCAAGAGCTTCGTGGCCTGCAATTGGACATGACTGAAAAGGTATTCTCAATACTTCCTACAGGTTATAGATTTTATGATATTTAGACTTACCAAGAACCACTGTGATCTCTTTTTACATCGATGCTTGGCAATCTAAAGTCTAAACGAACTATTTTTCCTGTAGTGCAAAGTATATCTTGTGTTGTGTGTTGTGGGATATTGTGAGGGCTCTAAGCACCCCCTGGTTTACCCCCGGTAAATTTTTATAAGAAGGCAGGACAATAAAGGGGCGAGACCCAGAGATATGCAAGAGGGAGAGGAGAAAAATGGTTGTAAAAAGGAGTGGGGAGAAAACAAGAGTTATGTTAAGGTTTTCTTAGACCGGTAAGAAACATTTATATTTCGTTGTAACCGAATTAGCGATACAGTTGTGAAGCAGAGATGTATGTCACAATATGTACAGTTAACTTGCTTAGAAGACACAAAATAAAAGTTGAATAGTGGTGGTAGCATGAAACAAAAGTGTGGTAGAAGATTATATGAGTAATACCATTATTTAAATGTTAGTTGAATAAAGGAAATTTCAAATTGTAGCAGGAATCGCGTCAAATTGAATGCCCTATTTAATGCGGATATTATTTTTCAATTTTTTGAGCTGCTGTCTTTGTTAAGCCCTGTTCAAACGATCCAACATTTCACCCAACATTTTCTCGCGCAGCTCGAAAAAGGACTGGGTAGAAGATCGCGCTGAAGGCTGCACAGTTTTGCGACATTTCGATCCATTAAAACGAAAGGCAATCACCGCCATTTCTATCTATTACCTTTCCATATATTTTTCACTGTCATCCCGGTCTTTCAGGACGAACCGAGCAGCTCCCATCAAAGCCCAAATTTCTAAATTCGTCCTCCTGCGCTTGCTTGCAACTCCTCTTGTGCTACAGGCTCTTCATTGGCGTTTTATGCCTCTTTTTGCACACAGAATTTGTTATATTTCCTTATATTGTCCATAATTAAAGTGTAATTGATTGTAAGCAAACGCGATTGTTGACACGAACGAAACCAGCCCGAGAAAGCAACAACGATGCAATGATTGAATTTTGGCGCTTTTGGCAAAATGTTGGGTGAAATGTTGGATCGCTTGACCAAGGCTTTAAAGCCCTGGTCAAACGCTTCCAACATTTCATCCAGCATTTACTCCCAAAAAATTCTAAAGTTCGTTGATATTTTTAAGCGGGTGGTCAAACGCATCCAACATTTCATCCCACAATTTCATCCAACATTTCCATCACCGTTCATCGTCTTCGCAGCGACATGTTTGCAGCACTGATTCAAAGATGATAAAAAGGCGCGTAAAACAAAAGTGAATAATGATAGCTGATTTCGAAAACAACACGTTGAAACGTAAAGCTTCCCGTTAGGCCTACGCCTAAATCTAGATCGCCATCGCTGCTGTGACTCTCCACATCAGTGCTGCGTTCGTCCTAATTCGCCACCTTTTCCTCAGCTATTAATTGTTAGATTATTTCATTCTGCACTTTGCTTTTGGTTTCCATTTTTCACTCGATAACTTTGAAAGAAGTTGCTCACAAATCAATATGGATTCGCCTCGGCTCAAATGACGATAAAGAAGTTTGAATCATGTGCATGCCTAGAAAATGAAATGTTGAGTGAAATGTTGGATGGAGTGGTCAAACGCATCCAACATCACACCCAACATTGAAAAACAAAATTTGTTTTTGACCGTGATCAAACTTCATCCAACATCGATTTGCAAATGTTGGGTGATCCAACATGGGTGGTCAAACGCATCCAGCATTTCGTCCAACATTGGTTTTCTGCATGTTGGATGAAATGTTGGATGCGTTTGACCGGGGTTTAAGGGTACATGGGTGCAAGCAGTAGCGGATACTAGATGGCGAGGGGTTGCGAGGGGTAGGATGGCAAGTTGCGGTCCTGGGAAAGTTGAGAAGAAAAACTGGCCTTTTATCTCTAAATATACTGAAACAAAATCCCATGACGTTGATCGCCCACTCCCTTTCCACTTGGAAACAATTTGCAAAGTCTATTTGTACTTATAATAATATCTGATAGTTTTAAAGTTATTTGCTGTTGTTAATGAAAATCCACCATCATAGTAAATCTTTTTTGTCTGCAGCAAACTGACGTTGATTTAGACGACCTCGTGAATTTGCTGAATTCTAAATCAATAATGCTTCAGAACTTCAGAGAATTTATGGTATGGTGAACATTTATTTTTCTAGTTTTTGTCTCTTCAACCGTTAAATTTTTTTTGAACTCGAGTGTACTAAATCTTTTACATTTCTTGCGTTGGCTGACAGCAACCAAATTTGGGGGTATAGAATGGAACAGTGGCGAGAATGTCCGGCAATTATACCCTGAGGAGTGACGGACGAAAAGTTCCTCAGTATAGAATCGACCCGCTCTTCCCTGCGATTTTCAAATTTTCGGTACCAAAAGCTTTCGGGTTACTAAGAACAAAATTGTTTTTAAACCTCGATGAATGCTGTGGTACTACAGGTCAGAGTTTAGAAAGTATCCGAAACATCCTCTGGATGAAACTTTGACCTACTCGCATTCCTCTAAATTTCTTTTGTACCAAAGTTTCTTATAAATTAAATTTAAGTAAAATCATATATGGTCTGGTAGTTACGCATTGGCCTTCCTTAAAACTATTACATCATTGGGTAACCTTCCTCCGGCTCATAGACGTGGAACCATAGTATTTTTTGAACTCTGCTACAGGTACATCCCAAAGCCATAAAAAGCCGTTCCAATTTTTTAAGATAAGGCATTTTTAAAATATTGTCCTTGAATGATCTATCTAAAGCAAATTTCAACTTTGGGAAACCAAAACAGTCAAGTGATTCCCCAGACACAACTTGGATGAAGCTTTTCGACCCGGGTTAATCCCCACCCTGGTTGGAAATGATCACCTTGGGTGACAGCAATCGTATATATGCAATTTTTTGCGATTGTTACTTTTGCAATTTTTTATATTTTGGCCTTTGCATTCATACGAAATGCTAGATTGAAAAGGAATAGATATAGGAAAAACGAAACGTTATGGCTCTAAATAATCGCAGTGTTTTTTGCACTGTTTTGTGAATTCAGGTTAGTTGAAAAATGTTTGATAAAGAAAATCTGCAACAGAATGGCTTTCATGGGCTTTCATGACAATCCAGAAGCAGTAGACGTTCTTTTACGTCATTAGAGCGCTTATCCTAAGGTTAATTGAACCAGGGTTCATCCGAAGTTCATCAAAGATTATTTTCTATTTTGTCATATCTGCCACAGATCATTGCTGTTCGGCGAGCAAGCTCGTGTCCCTGTGTAATATGTTAGAGAGACATGTTATTGAGAATATAAAATATATTTTTATCAAGCCATTAAATTTTCCAGCCCAGCCAACTCCCCTCTCGACAGCCCTGCCACATTCCTCAAGCACTCCCTTTCGGTTGACCTATTATAAAGTATAAAGTATTGGTATTCAGAGTATAAAATATTGGGAAATTTACAAATTTTTTAAAGTATATAATTGGATAAGAGTTGCTCGTGTAGAAAATTTACGTATGTTCCAAAATATATATATCAAAAGTGGTATTTGTGAAAATCTCTTTTTCCAGGATTTCTGTTTTGAAGAAAGAAGTGAAGATTTGTCTATTGAGAAATGCTTGCTGATTCAGCGCCATGTTATAAGAAATTTTTCAAAACTTTTGGACAAAACAAAATGTTTTGTTCTTAGAACGCTTGAAGTTGCGTCTACTAAAGGTACCTCATCACTACGTGACCAACTGAAATGCATATCCCAATGCTGCAAAGATATAATTATCTGCTTTAAATTATTGGTTGAACAATTATCATGCTCAGATGATGCAATTCTTTCGATCAAAGACACTTTTGAGAAGTTGGAATTTGCCATGAAAGCGGTTCAAGTTGGCGTTGCAATAATTTCACAGCATTTCGAAGAACTTTGTTTTCCGCATGGAGACTACTCTGTCTGTCTTGAAGAAGACATTGAAAATAATGATTTTAAACTTTGCAATGAAGCAGTTATCTGTCCTTTGTCTTAAAGTGAAAGGACAAATTTATCTGCAACAGAAAACAACCGAAATTGTGACTCTTTAAAATAAAGATACATGTATTATAATTGTCGATTTTTACAATGGGTTTGTCAACTTTTTTTCAACCGTTCTAAACTGTTTGTTTATAACCATTTTTTTCTCAGTCTTACAACCTTTCCAATTTCTCACAGGGTTGGCATGAATTGAGAATTATTTTAATTAGATTGTCCATAGACATTGTGTTATTTTTAAGCGAATTTTTTTCTAGGCCTGTATATTGACGTCAGTAAATCTTTTCTCTATATAAATAAGCTTTCTAGTTCATTTTTACTCAGACCAAAAAGTTTTGGAGTATTTTTGGCTACCTTGCACAATGCCTATCTCTGTCAGTCCGAATTTATTCAATTTCCAGCTTGTTTACCTCCGTCTACTTTTTCTTTTCACCGACGTGTGTGTCTCTATTTCCAATCCATACAATTATTGAAATTGTTTCAGAATTAGTTTTATTTCGACTGATTGTCCTTTTTTAAATATGAGAGAAGTAGGCATAAGCTTTGAATTAGAATTTCCTATTTTACTTCCAAAGTCATGCAATGATGAAATGTCTTATAATATATAGTTTTACACTAAAAGGTTATCTATTAAACCGCAACCCCAGGCTTGGTCGAACCACCCTATACAACACGAGTAATCGATTGTTTCTCTTTAGTCCATATTTTCTACTCCACCTTAGTCTTCTAATCGTGTAAGCCATTTTTTATTTCATCAATAAAGTTATAAAACGAGCGACGCCATATTGAAATTGCGAAACAAAGCAATTTTCCCGCCCTGGATGGCGTGAGCATGGCGTGAGCAAATCAACTGTCACCGCTGATTTCAAGAGATTCTTCACTCGTGAATAATGAAAGTTGTTGGAAATTTGTTTGACAATCGGTTGTAAGAAGTACGGTGTGCATATGCTTCAAATTTGAAAAAGGTACGTTCATAATTATTTTTTTCTTTTTGTTATCACTTCAGCGTTTAGCACTTATAGACATTTCTTTCTGCGAAATCAGCTCAGTTACGATAAAAGTAGGTTGCAGTGTACATTCATTTTCTAAAAAGCATGGCTACAAAGTTTTAAAAAAGCTTAGAAATGAATTTAATCAAATTTCGAGAAACTCCAATCATGATTAGACTGATAGGTTTATCATTTCATCCGAGGAACTCCATTTGTATTGCACAAGGCCAACCTACTGTATGTAGACAAAGTGAATAAATGATACCTTTAATTAAACTAGATACTTTAAGAAATTCATAGGGCTTCAATCGAGAGTTAAAAGCCAAGAAAGGAAAAAATTTCAACAGTTATTTTTTAATTAGGTAGAGCTTGTTACTTGTTTGTACTGTATCTAATGGCACAGTGTTGTCCCAAAATTGTATGAATAAAATTTATTAATTCCTAATAGCCGTAAGAAAAATCAGAGCACTTAAGCACAGACTCGCAAGCACATTTCTGAGTTTAATTAGGCAAAAAGATAAATTTATGAGTTATCCCATAGTTTATTAACATCCAAGTTCTGCCCTAGGATCGAATTTATGATAAAATTAATTCCTAATTATATTCAAGACCTTTATGATTATCATTCAGTTAACAATAATGCTGCCAAAAGTGGCACATGGAAGTTTTTCCAATTAATTACAGAGAAATGCAGAATTAAAGCAATAATCATTCTAAATTCTTTGAAGAACTATCTCATATATGAACATGTCTCAGATAAATTGCTTAGAGTATGATTATTTTATTAGCACTGCCAATCTCTTTGGCATAATCTCTTCCAAGACACTTTAAAGGGAACAAATATTCTTGGAAAAATCACTTGTCACCTGACTGCAATGCAATTGTTTTCGACAAATGAATTCAACTGGAGATCAAAAACAATATCACTCTTGCTAACACTTCTACAATTAACCTCAGCCAAATAAACTTCAATTTCGAATGGGAGAGTGATAGGGTGGAAAAAGCTCGGATTTAATTGCCATGTGTCACAAACTACCTGTACACTAACCGACTATTATTTGCAAAAAATACCAATATTGTATATAAACGTAAAAGCTATATCAAGCCCCAGGAGGGGGCCAGGTTTATTTTTTCAGAGGGCTTGAAAGATCTTATCATCACCACACCCGTCAAGAGATCAATTAAACGCGCATGTTTTCTGTTTGACATAAAGACTCTGCGGAGGACACATTGTAAATAATGAGTATTGTTTTTGTTTATTTCCGTGATGTATATAGAGGGATTTAATTGAGGTTGGGGGGGGGCATTCATAGATAGGACTTTGATTATTGGATTGCTTGAATGACGAGCGCGTATACGGAATTAAAATTGGCTGATTCACTGTTTCACTGTTCACCAATATGAATCATTGAGAGAACCTTGTAATCATAGCCAGTTTGTTTTTCTCTTGTTTAACTATTCCGGCAGAAATTGTTTATTTGGCAATGTTACCCATCAGGGGTTTTATAGAGAGGTGGATTTTTATTTAACTTTCTTTTTAAGATCAGTTGTATCATCTACATTATTGATATTGGGAAATTGATTTCAATATATGACTTTATGACTGGGAAAGACATTATCCAATTTATTGGTCCACTCTTTCACCAAGGCTCTGGTACCCCAGGTATAGATATCGATGATCTGATTTTTGACAAAAAGAGATGCCTTGCTTTACATCCATTATCACCATGCACCTCCTCAATAATCACATGTTACTGTATCGTGAAAACGTCCCCTTTGAGAGCCTGTGCTTTCTATGGGTCTATGCCTCAGTGCTTCAAGGATCAGTCCCTTTTTATGTTTTTGGTCTCAGGGGAGCGTTCCGTGATGTCTATTTTGTGGTATGGTGCTTTTATTGCAATTGAGTGGTTCGAGGGTGCAGCAGTTGAAGCAGGGTATGTTTTTAACGTAGTTCAGAGTGTCAACTTATGAAGGTGAAGAACAGAGAAGAAGATTGGTAGGAAGATAGTATCGACACCAAATTCTCTTTTCAAAAGGACAAACAGAATAAGGTTAGAAATATTTGATTTTATCCTTTCGTTGCATCGCTAATTTTAGGGGCGGATCGAAACATTCTCAACATTCTCAATTGAGAATGTCACATTTTCCCATTTTGATTGTTCTAATTATAATGCTAAAAGCAATGAATAAACTCAGGTTTAAGGTTTAAGATTAAAATTTCTCATTTATTATGCATATAAGGCATTTATTTCTACACCCTGATATACTTTACTCCGTTCTACTTTTGCAAAACATCTTCAGATCTTCTCCGATGAAACACCAATTTCTCCTTAATTGAATTTAGTACCACAGAGTACCCAGGAGAGTAGTAAGAGGCCGTGCCTCGTTGATTTTGAGAATGTTTACGGACTGTTGCCATGCATTTTGAGAGATTCCTTCGCATTTTGAGAAAGTTGCACGCAGTTTCTGCATGCGCACGCATAGAATTTCTATTCATTTGTACCTGAGAAAAGGTCGATCTGAAAGATTTGAACGAGAGGAAAATTCGCCAGAATGACGTATTAAACCCATTCAATTTTAATAGGGTATGTCATGCATATGTTACATATACACTACCAGGACAAAAGTTTTGTAAACTAATATCTTTACGCTGAAATATTCCCCTTAAAAGAGAAAATAATCATGCTAAACCAGTAGTCAAATTCTTTGAAATTTATTGAGGATTTCGAAATACTCAGAATTACGATATTAACCTAAGAAATCTTACAGGTATAAGAAAAAATATCTGCAGTGGTAAAATCAAAATATCGAGAGGATAAGGAGTTAGTAGTTGTGATAAACTTCGTGTAACTGGTCTTTTACTTCTAAAGATTTCGAAACTTTTTACAGAAAATGAAAGCAAAATAGTAAGAGATCCGGAAACAACAAATCAAGTCAATATTCCCGACTTCTTTAGCCCCGAAATTTTCCATTTCACCATGGGTAATTTTTTGGGTACAGTTAGGCCCATATAAATTAGTAAATCATAAACTAGCGACGTGCGAGTTAATGCAGTGAAACATGTCAAAATAATGCAAAACAGTTTCTTTGGTGGAATCAAATCAATGCTAGGAAAATGAGGAAGACAGCTTTTATCATAAAAAGCAATACATCCCCTTACAAGGCCATTTTGACTCAAATTTACCTGAAAATCTGCAAACTCTATGTCCTTCCTCAGCCATCACAAAGACCTAGCCTTAAAATAAGCGAATATTTCTTGTTGCCAATAAAAATGATCTGATTTGAAATCCACAAGGTTCTCTAAGGTCCAAACAAAAACTGACTTAGAGAGTTTATTTAAGATGAAACAGAATCCCAGTGCATTTCATCAACAAATTTTGTGCATCAATTCGATAGCAATTTTCCGTACTTATCAGAGCCAGAAGCTGATTTAAAATTTTGAAAAATGAAAATGGAATATTCGAATTAACTCTTTATTGAATTTGCAATTTTATTTGCTTGGCATTGGCTGATTAAACAATAGCTTAATCAGACAATAACAAAAGTTATTGCATGATCCACCATTAATCGCCTTCGCAGGTGTTGCAATACTTTTGGCCTGGTAGTGTACATTGTGATCTTGCCTACGTCGCATTTTGAGAATCTTGAGAAGTTAGTGGGCTGGTCCACAAAGTAGCAAAATTTGACAGGGAACTCTGAAGCATTTCAGATCACAGTGGCAGTGCTTGATAATTATGTGTGAGTGCTTGATCAGAAAAAATTTCACAAGAACTCATTGCAACCGCTTGTGATTTGGACACAATCGAGGAGTATTTTTTTCACTGACTAGAGAATGGTTACTTACAAGTCTGCCAGAAGGGCTTAGGTGCAAGAATCAGATCGCAACACAAACTCAAACATTTATGTGGCAAAAGAATTGTTTCATTTTGCTGACTGGACCTAGCTAAAAGGGAGAGGATCATACTTTAAGGTATTGCTGAAAATTTTCATATGGAGATTCTCTCGACACCACGTGATGGAGAATGACAGTACGCCAATTTCTGCTCTCCGAATTTCAGAAAAATTTCTGCCTAATATTATACCATTTTGTCGTATTTTACAATGTTTTAGAAAATAAATAGGTTCAGCAATGTCT